CCCCCCCCCCCCTGAGATAGCTGGCTGGGCCGGCGCCTTGTTTCCGTTTTTGCTTGTTGTTGTTCTTGTTTTTTGGCTGATGTTGTTTTGCTGTCGTATAACATAACCGGTGCTTTGCAAGCTAGCCCTGTTCCCCTTTACATTGAGCTCACGACTGCACTCTTCGTTTTTAACTAAATTTTGACCGAATTGATGCTGCCAACGAAATGGCAGCTGCCTTTGAGGTTGGTGTTGAGACGTCTATCCTGAGAGGGTGCGAAACGAAACAGGTCACCTCTTTCGAGAGCTCCGTGTGACGCGGCGGCTGGTCTCGGGAGGGGGTGAGGGTGCTTGGGTTGGCTCATGTTTTTTGGGCGCAGGGCTGGGCTTTGCCTTTTTGGTGACAGTGGCCGATGGCGCGCTCGTGGGTTTGGTGCGCTTGCTTGCTGCAGTGGATGAGGCTGCAGCGGCTGTGGGTCGGCTGGTGCGGTTGAACACGAGGCGACTGTCGGTGCTGGCTTTTGCGTCATATTTGTAGTTTTCGGCATTGAAGGCACGCAGGTCGCCGAGGGTCTTGGCCTGACGCTGGGCCATGTGGCGCACAAACAAGCCCCTGGCCCGCTTGGCAAAGACGCTTACGACACGACCTGCCTCTTGAAAAACCACCTCAACAACCTGGCATCCCTTCTCTTGGAGCACCGATGTGTCGACGACTTTGAAATATTCTTGCGAGGCGACGTTGACCAGAATCTATGCGACAAAAGAACGTGTCGTGAGCGCTGGCACGGAGGAGCTGATCAGCCAGCAAGACCACACGGGCCGCCCATTTCGGCTGACCTTGGACGGGGTTTTGGCAACGCGCTCGGCCAGCCAGGCGGAAAGGCCTTTGGCGGCCCAAAATGCGTAGAGGTCGCGAGTGGCATCCACGGGCAGCTTGGTGCCCATTTCCAATCGGTAGGGCTGAATGAGATCGCACGGACGCAACCCGCCATACAGGCCCGAGAGTATGACTAGGTGCTCTTGAAGGTGGAGCTGTGAGGCTTTGTCCAGTGCTGCAAAGTTCAGTCCTCGAAAGGCTGGGCCATCAAACGCGAGCCCGCACTCGCGAAATGCACCCGCCGCTGCCTGAGTAGCCATGGTGTGGGAACGCCAAGACTGATACCTGCCAGAAAGGAATCAAGGCATGCTCGCATGAGTGTGGGCATATTGATGACCGTTTTGCTCAGAGGTGCCAGGAATCTCACCGCTGCCGATTCAGCTGAGCCAGGTTATCGCTGAGGCCCATAAGCTTCTTGAGATCGCCGGCGGATTTGCGCTTGAGCACGTGAATTAGCGACTATCCGCGCATAAAAGGACCAATACAACGGATGGGTTGAATCATCGAGGCGAGCGGGCTGCTGGCGATCGACCCAAAGCAGCCGTGTGGACTTGCAGAAGCTGCCACCCTGAGCTTTACCTGGCTGGCCTCGAGGAAATGAGGCTGACTCGTGGTCGGAGCCTCAACCTCAGAGTCAAAGTCGAGCGCCTTGGCAGGTGATAGAACAGCCAACATCCTGACGGTGACCCATCCAGGTCATGGACGCCTCGAAAAGCGAGAGAGGAAATAAAACACGAAAAATATGTTTTTTCGTGTTTTTTTGGACTTTTTGAGTTTTTTTTTTTTTTCCTTTCTCTCTCTCTCTCTCTCTCTCTCTCTCTCTCTCTCTCTCTCTCTCTCTCTCTCTCTCTCTCTTTTCTTCTTCTCTTTAGGTCTCTTGATCAATTGGTGGAACAAGATCAGACGGTGCTTTCGCGATGAGTCGGGTCTTGGTCGCTGCTGGACACGGCGGCCACTGTCAGCGGTGAATAGCCTGGTGTGATGGAAGCAGGGGTGTACGGGCTATATGCGGGAGGCTGGGTGCCATTCGTGATAGAGGGCGGCGCAGCCGCGAGGGAAGCCAAGGCCATTGGGGCACTTGCGGGCGTGGCAGTATTGATGCTGCCACGACGGGAGGTAGCTTCTTCATAGGATGGAAGAGGTGGTGGCCGTTCGTTGATGTCAGTGACACCCAAAGAACGATCGAGACTTTGCACGCGAACCCGTTGCGGAGATCCGGCCGAACGATTGGAATTTGAAGTACCAGACGCAGAAGCGTCATCAAGGGTTGACGCTGTTGTGGCTGCGGAAGCAGAAGGGCAGCACAGGGACAGGGACATCAGAGCAGTTCAAACCAAAATCAAAAGAAGATTGCAGTTGGTGTGAGGGGCGCGCAGAGGCCCCGGCGTACCGGCGAGCAAGGCAGCAACCGGCGTGGCCGCTGAGTGAGGGGGGAGCGGATGCTGAAGGGCTGTGTCGTAGTCTGGCACTGCCTCTGGCTCGGCATTGCTAGAGACTGAGTCATCACTGTGAGCAGCGTCATTGGCCATGCCATTTCGCGCAGCGTTGGCGGGTGGCGGTGGGTTTCGCCATGATCGGGACCGCCGAAAGCGAGAGCGGCGGCGCGACTGGCGTGGTGGATGGTGCCATTCTCGTCGTTGGCAGCAGCCTTCGTCCGAGCCACACTTGCGACACAAATAATTGATGACCGGGCAAACTGTCGCCAAGCCAAACGAGGGTAAACGCGAGTGAAATTGGAACGATAATAAAAATTCAAAAGGCACGAGCAATGAAAAGAGCAAGCGGCCAGACGAGAGGACCACGGCGCAACGTCTGGGGCGCATCATGTCATCGACAGGGGGCAACGTACGACAGCAAAATCCAATCAAGACGCCGACAATGATAAAGGTCGTGCCATTCCTGGTGAGACCACCAGCACAACAGGCCGTGGCGCAGCCGCGGTCGTCAAAGTCACAACAGTTGACGAGGTGTGAGGGGTGATTACTCTTGGCATCGGGACAAGATCGATCGGCCAGAATACCACACTCAGGCTTGTCTGCGTTGCAATCTTCTGCTCTGACCCATTCTATCGCCAGCGACCAACCGCACACCATCAGCCAGGCACAGCGGGCTAGCAAGCAGGCCAGAGGGCCCGGAAACAAGGCTATCGCGTCATCTTATCCATCTTAGCCATGGGCAGGACATACCAGATACGGCGGCCATCGTAAGCAGGATTACCGCTATTCTGCGACCGTGGGTCGCAGACCTTGGGGCGCGATTCATGATTGTGAGTGACATTGGCACGCAATAGACTGGTGCTTGAGCCACGCCCACATACACAAAGCACCGCCAAGCCTTGAATTCGCGCGTCGATCCCGATCAACCACGACCGTGCGGGCACCTCATTGCGTCCTTGGAGTTTCTCTGTGGTACTGCAAACCCCTGCCAGCGCCAAAGCGGCAAGCGTGACGTTTTCACCCACGAGCTCAAGCCAGCAATCGTAGTCGAAGGCAGGCAGGCAGGCAGGCAGGCAGGCAGAGGGAAGAGGGATGGAAGGAGGCGACGAGCGGGTCGGGGAGGAGAGAGAGGCCAAGACGAAGAAGAAGAGGAGCTCCGCTGCTCTGCTCGCAGATAAAAGTAAAATACATTTCAAACAGGCTTTTCACTTCCTTCTTGCTTGATAAAAAGTAAAATACATTTCAAACAGACTAACTGCCTCCTCGTCCTCAATGGGAAAAGTAAAAGTAAAATACATTTCAACTTTCTTGATAAACTTCACTTCCTTCTTTCTTGATAAAATAAAAAAAGTAAAATACATTTAGCACGGGGGAGGCGCAGGGGGATTCAATGGGTGGCGGCGGAGTGAAGGAGCGGGGCGAGAACCCGGTGCCCGGGCGGTGCTGCTTCTTCCTGGAGAAGAAGGGCCGCTTTTGTCGCGTGGAGCGGGTCAAGGGTATGTGTGTGTGTGTAGCATCTTCTCCTCGGTGTTTGGGCATGCAGGCGGGGGTGTTTGGCTCATGTTCGCATTTGCGATAGATTCGCGCTTCTGCGGGCAGCACGTGTCTGATGCCACGGTAGGAGCCCGCTTTGCTCCTGTCGGCCCCTCTTTGTAACAACAAATGTCAAAGCACGGCTCAATGATGCTTCCCTGGTGTACGCTTGCCGTGGCAGTTTGTCCCCTGCCCCTACAGTGGTAGCCATCAAGTGCGAGCCGACTTGCTGGAGCGTCACCTTCGCAAATGCAACGATCGCCCCCGCCCACCCCCGGCCTGGTTTAAGCAAGGTACAGGCTTGCATGTTGCACGCCGCCGAACTGTAAACCCGTTGATTAACAACCCATGTCGGGCTTGCCCGTATCAACGCTGGCTTTCCCAGACGTGAATAATCTTGCAGCCACCACAACCAATGGACCTTTTGCGCCCGCCCCACTCCTCAGCGAGGTTGGTGCACATATCAAGCCTACGCTGGCATGGGCACCGCTGCGCGAGTGTTGCACCCAACCGGCCTTTTTTTTTTTTCTTTTTCCTTTCACCAATGATGGATCCAACTGCGTAGATTGATGCCGCCACGCTGCAGGCTGTAGCTGCGCTGATCAACGTGCTCTATGACGAGGGTCAAACCCAACTCGGGCCCATTACCGTCCACTCCGCTTTGCACCCGGCCCATAATGCCATGCTCGATGGCACAGAAGCCTACGTATGCGTCTTGCTTTGCTTGGGAGAAAACCAAATGAACACAGCCAGAGACTTTCAACACATTTACACCCGCGAGTACACACGCTCACCCGATCTGCCTTTTGCTTGACCAGGGTGTAACCCGACGCCACGTTCAACAGAACAGCAGTCTCTCCCGTCTCATTACCGACGATGGTGTGCCCGATCAAGACACCTCCAGTGCACTACCACCGCTGGTCGTAGAGTTTGGCGCCGGGCGGGCCCACCTTTTGCACTGCCTGCGTCACGCCCTCGGCTGGTCGAGCCCGGCAGGTACGCCTTGAAGCCATTCTAGGCACCAAAAACAACCTCTCATACCTGGTTCGCTGTTTTAATCCAATTGCTTGTTGTTTACACTAGCCTACTTGGCGTTGGAGCGCGATACCATCCGGCTCAAAGCCGATCGATATCACCGGGCCCGACCCGAGCCTGCCGTCTCTTACTCTCGCTTACGAGCAGATATCGCCAACGTGGTGTTGGCAGCCACGGTTGATGCCCAACCCCCTGACGTGTCGACCACACCCGCTTCCGCAGCCCCACTTCGACCGCTCGTGGCTTGTTGGAAGCATCTCTGCGGCGCCGCAACAGGTGTGCCGTACTCGCAACAACACTCCTCCTTGCCCATAGTTGGCTTGCCCCACACGATACAGTGTCGCTGACCCTTTGAAATGCATGGGACGCATAGACTTTGCCATTCAAGCCATTGTCCATTACCAGGCTGCTGGCGGTGTGCTCCGACATGTCACCGGAGCCACTTGCTGCCATCATCGCTGCACCTGGGGGACATATTGTAATCGACCTTGGCTTGAGGCGCATGGGGTGACGCCGGATACCTTTGGCATCATGACTCGCATGGCCACGTATGTCTCTCTCCCACCTTTTTCCTTTTGCTTCCCCGCCCTCTTGCCCTTCCTTCTCTGTTCTTCTCACTCTCTCTGTCTTGCTCCCTCGTTTCTCCTCGTGCGCGCTCCATGTAACTTTGATTCACAATGACTCTGCCCCGACTGCTTAGATGGGCCACATTACAGCTGAATCGAGAAGAGCCACAGAATAAGAGAGTAAAGAAGGGTGATGACGTTTCTGCGCCAAGGGCAGCGATGGATGATGGTGTGATTATTGCTCATGCGCATTCAACCCAGTCTCCGGCGCACGGATCCGTCGAAAACGATGATCAAGGGCAACGCTCTGCGCGCCCCGAAACCGCGGATGTCGAGGACGAGGGTGACGACGAGCATGGTGTCCTGGTTGCCCCTGAACAAGTCGAGTCTGCAGCTCTCAAGTTTGTACCTCTGCCTTCATTGCATCTTTACTCGGTGATCTGTGCGTTGGATCCATTTTACGTTGTGTTTCTGCTCATTTGTGTTTCCTTAGAATGAATGTGACAACCGCACAAATGGTTGAACTTGGTTATCGGTGCAAGCGGGCGCTTGATTACGGCCGTGCTTTGTATCTTCGGGCGCAACTAGGTGTGCCGCTATGTTTGGTGGTAAGTCGTGATACTTCATATGTTTGATTGACCCCCCTCAACTCGCATCAAAGACCCGAAGCTTTAGCAAAATTTGACTGCGTGCTGCTGATGGCTGTGTATTCACGTTTGCGTAGGAGTATGTGGACCAAAAGGTAACGCGTGAAAACGTGTGCCTCACCTCCCGCCAACCAGGAGCCAAAACTTAAACCAAGCGACACCATGTCCTTTTCGGCGCTAGCATGCAAACTCGAATGATTTAATTTTAAATTCATGTTCAAAAAAACAAAAGAAAAATCCAAAAAGGCAGCGCGTAGAGCGCTGCGTTGGGTCTCAACCCAGACGCATACGAGCCAAATAAGCCTCTTCACCGGACAACTGCAGGTGAGCAGCACTGCCAGACGCGGGTGCAGGAGCCGAGGAAGCCGGTGGTGCATCTTGTGGTGCGCTGGCTTCGCTGGACGGCGGCGGGGGGCCGCTGGGAGGTGGGGGTCCGCTGGGCGGTGGGGGTCCGCTGGGCGGTGGGGCACTGGTCGGCGGAGGTGGCGCGCCCATGCCTGAGGGAGGTGGCATGCTGCGCGGGGGACCCATGCCACGTGGTGGCATACCGCGAGGGGGTCCCATGCCCATACCCATGCCCATTCCAGGTGGTGGTCCCATGCCCATGCCCATCCCGGGTGGTGGGCCCATGCCCATGCCCATGCCCATCCCGGGCGGACCTCGCATGGGGGGCATGCCAGGCGGCGGTCCCATGCCCATGCCCATGCCCATGCCAGGTGGGCCCCGCATGGGAGGCATGCCAGGCGGCGGGCCCATGCCCATGGGTGGAGCGCCCATTGGAGGCGGGGCGCCCATTGGAGGCGGGGCACCCATCGGTGGCGGAGCGCCCATCGGTGGACCACCAGCCGCATTGTCCGAGAAGAACTACCACCAGCAATCGCGGCGTGAGCATGAGACACTCGATTCCAATTGCATGGACATTTAATGTCATGGTCATTCCACTACCAAAAAAGAGTAGAGGACCAAGTGCCGTGCTTACCTGGTTTGGAGTTTGTTGTGATTTGATGATGGGGTTTTGAGCGGCAAGCATGCGTTCGGCCTGTGAGCCGTGACGCTCGCCTTGGGTATCCTATCACGTTGAAATGGCGCGCCAACAGAGTGAGTCCGATGCTCTGACCAGGTGTATGTCACATGCCATGGCTATGCCCGTGGCCACGCGTTCAGGAGGCTTTGAAGGAAAAAGATCTTGCTGCCCTTGCTGATCTAGTTCCAATTCCTGGCTAATTTGCACTTTGGAGCAACGTTTGCACGACGGGGATCTGACCTTCTTGTAGGCGTAGGTGACATTGATGGGTCGATTACAAAGGTACTGCTGGTGCATGGCCTTGATGGCGGCGTCCGAGGCCTCGAAAGTGGCATAGTTGATAAAGGCAAACCCCTTGGAATGGCCAGTCTCGAGGTCGCGCATGACCTTGGGGTGCTGCAGGATGACTCCAAAGGCCGAAAACGTGTCGAAGAGCAATTTCTCGTCCACCTCGGGTGCCAAATTACCAATGTAAAGGTTGGCGCCCACCTCCATGTGTTTGGAGTGAGAGGCCGACTGTAACACATGACGCGAGAATGATGAGCCGTGTGTTGCAGCAGAACAATCCCAAAAAGTCGCAAAGCCCAGTCGGCGGCAGGAGGATGCCTGCCTTTGAAATGATGCCAGCGAGAGAAAGAAAGACGGACCTTGTTGACGCGGATGGGCTTGCCGTAGACGTTGATCATGTTGAGGATTTTGAGGGCATACTCGGCATCATCCTCTCCCAAGAATTCGACAAAGCCATAGCTCTGGTGTGCCCCTGATACGCGATCCTTGGGCATGTGCACGCTGACTGCAAGCATTGGGTCACGGGACACACGTCAGTGGAACTGCGGGGACGGATGGGAGCGCGGTATCACAAAGAGCCGACTGTTTTCAAAGACCAAGCGTGAGCACAAGTGTCGTCTCACCAACGGGGCCGGCCTGCAGAAACAACTCCCACACGAGCTCCTCGTCCACCTTATCATCGAGACCACCGACGTACACGGTCGCGTCTGGCCGAGGTGAGAGTGGTAGCAGGCGACAGAGGTCAGCTCCTCGATTCACAGTAAGACCAGTAGAGAGAGAGGCAATGAGCTCCGCATAGGTGCAAGTCAGTCGGGCGTACCTTGATTGCGCTCTTTGAGCACGACGTTGGCCATTGTGCACGGTGCAGTTGAGCAAGGGTGCTTGAACCGTGGTCAGTCCCGACCAACCAACCGATCCGCAAAAAAAAAGCACCGAGCTGACTGCCCGTTCCGTGGCCTATCACCTAACAGGCTACCAATACAACGGGGGCTGCCTGTAGCTGCACCCAGGCAAGACCGAGCTCAAGCAATCGACGCTGCCGGCGGGTGGTGGCACAGACACGTTGCACGCCCTGGGCGAAAGCAGCCAGCACGCATTCAGATGAGAACAACAACGAAGCGTGATGCGAAAAAACAGCGACGCGCCAGCCAGCCCACAGCCAACCCCAGGCCCGCGCTGCTCTACCCAAGCTGGTCAACAACCCGCCATGCCCCCAAATGCACCAGCCCCATGCGGCTGCCACTTTGATATCAGAGACCAAGTCTGTGTGTGCGCGCGCTGTGTGTGTGTCTCTCTCTCTCTCTCTCTCTCTCTCTCTCTCTCTCTCTCTCTCTCTCTCGGCCCTCTCTCTCCCCTCTCTCTCTCAGCTCTCTTTGTCACTATCATTTCACACAGAAAAACCCTATTCTACCTAATACAAAAAAATACTAGATCAAGAGAGAGAGAGAGAGAGAGAGAGAGAAAGAGAGAAAGAGTCAAATTCTGCTGACATTATTGTCAGACAATCAATAAATAAAAGTGTGTTCGTTTCTATACTTTAGTGTGTAGCATAGTGTAGCATTTAACAGACTATCGCACGGTACGATTGAGGTCATCCAACGACGGAGCACCACCTCCACCTCCTCCTCAATGGCATGAAAAGGGCAGCGCGCCACTGGTCCCTGTCTGGCCCTCCGTCTCTCTGTCTCCCTGCGCGCTTTTGATGGTGGAGGGGGTGTGGTAAATGCAGTGTGCAGGGGGGATATTGCGCGATGAGCTGGTTGGCGAATAGCTGGATACTGTGCGATGCATGGTCGTTAAAACCCAGATTCATGGCGATGACGCGCGGCGGGTGGCTGCTGTGATGTGTCGCGCTGGCTATGCCCCCCCCCCCCCAGTGCCTGCGTGTGCTGTGCTCAAGCTGCTGTGCTGCTGCATGCATGCTGTATTAGACATTAACCGGGAGAAATGCGGTTGCTTCTCCTCTGCCTGGCCCTGGTCCCCTTGGCTGCCGCCTTTTATGTCCCTGGCGTTGCCCCAAAGAGCTTTGAGGATGGCGAGCGCGTCGACATCAAGGTTCGGTCCTCCGCTCGCTCGCCAACCCCCAGATCAAAGGCTCGACATTAATCTTCCTGGCCTTGAACCGCTCGCACGGGCACCGCATCTGCTCGTGCCTCACGACGCTTCTGTTTTCGCCCGTGCCGCCATGCGTCTGCCAGAGCGTCAAGATGACGAGCAGCAAGCGGCCCAAGCTGCCTTACCCCTACTATTTTTTGCCCTTTTGCCGCCCCACCAAGCTGCGCAACGCCCGTGAAAACCTGGGCGAGGTCCTGCGTGGTGATCGCATCACCAACACCCCATACGAAGTGCGCCCTCCTCCACACATGCGCACAGCGCCACGACAGCCAGACATGCGTTGTCGCGACCTTGACTCATCTGCTCTGCTTGCTCCCCAGCTTTACATGAACCAAAACGTGTCCTGCCGCCTCTTGTGCCGCGGGGAAAATTACCTTGCCAAGTCCTATTCCGAGGAGCAGATTCAGCGCTTCCAGCGCTTCATTCGCTCCGAGTACCGAGTCCACTGGATCATGGACAATCTCCCCGTCGCCACCAAGGTCCACTTTGATGGCTCGGTGAGTCACACACTCTTTTTAATTGCGCTAAGAACCGCCGCTCTGCCACACCCTCGCAGGTTGTACCTCACCCTCTCATGTTACACATGACAACCCGTGATAGGATCGCTACATTCGCGGCTATCCCGTAGGCTTTGTCGACAAGGTCAAGGTGAGGCTTTCTTCCCCGCCCTGCTTCTTCTCAACTGGGTAGCCGAGCAAAACCCAAAGCCTGCTTCCTGGGGTCGCACGGCACAGTTGGGCCTGTGCAAAGCAGCTAACATCATCTCTTCGACCTACTGGGACCTAGGGTGTGCACCTCTTCAACCATGTTGTCATTGTTGGCAAGATTCACCCTATTGAAGAAGACGGCGTCATCAAGTACGAAGGGGCTCGCCGATGACCTTGGCTCACGTAAAATACAAACACTGACATGGCCCGGGGCTTGTATCATCGTAGGCACCGCATCGTTGGTTTTGAAGTTCAAGCGCGCTCTGTAGATGTGCAACGCTACAACGGCAACGTCGGTGATGCCGAGGACATGACCTGCCGAATTCAGCCTCCCTCAGAGACCAAGGGTGGTCTTATCCTCGACAGCAAAGCCAGTAAGTCGAACACACTCGTGAAGCGCGCGCTGCGCTGCCCGCCCCCTTGTTCCCACTTCTCACAACGACGTATTCTGCTCAACTCTTTGCAGTGCAAGGTTCAGACACGAAGAAGCAGATCATCTGGTCGTACTCTGTCCAGTGGCAACCCAGCGACGTGGCATGGGCCTCGCGCTGGGATACCTACTTGAGCACCGATGATCCCGAAATCCACTGGTTCTCCATTATCAACTCGCTCGTCACTGTTCTGTTCCTTTCTGGTACGTTGCCGCTCTTTCGCCGTCCTTCTCTGGCGGCCACTACACGGTGGGAGGGGGGGGGGGGGGGGGAAGCATGAAGAACCCCGCGCTTTATGGCCTCAAATCGAGAAGCAAGATGTGTTCTTTCTAGACTTGTTGTTGATTTTCATATTGTTTTGCTGTTTCTTTTTCGATGTTGTGCGTTTTCAGGTATCCTTGCCTTTATCATGGTGCGCACGCTGCGTCGCGATATTGCCAAGTACAACGAGGAGGACAAGGAAGAGGCGCTGGAGCAGACGGGCTGGAAGCTGGTGCACGGTGACGTTTTCCGGCCACCTCGCCACAGCCTCTGGCTCACAGTGCTGTATGGCACTGGCGTTCAGCTGCTGTGCATGGTGTCGAGCTCCATCGCACTGGCCATGTTTGGCATGCTCAACCCCTCCAACCGTGGCTCGCTCAGCACGGCCACCATCCTCCTCTTTTGTTTTTTTGGTGTCATTGGCGGCTTTTATGCCGGTCGCATGTTCAAGACATTCAAGGGTACCGCCTGGAAGGAAGCCGCCTTCCTGACCGGCATCTCCCTGCCCTCCATCATTTTTGGCGTGGCCTTCCTCCTCAACTTCTTCATCTGGGGCCAGCAGTCTTCGGGCGCCGTCCCCTTTACCACCATGATTGCGCTTGCTGCTCTGTGGTTTGGTATCTCTCTGCCGCTCGTCTTTGTCGGCTTTTTCTTTGGCTTTCGCAAAGCGGTATGTGACCACCGCCAGCACCTGACACCTCACAGCATTGGCCGACAACGCCTCCTCACCACCATGCGTTGAATTGGATCGTGGTCTACCGGGGCCGTGGAACGCGTTCCGAGATAGGCCTACGAGCACCCCTCGCACACCAATCAGATCCCACGTCAGGTGCCCGACCAAGTGTGGTACATGAATCCGATTGCCAGCATGATGCTGGCCGGTATCCTTCCTTTTGGTGCCGTCTTTATCGAGCTCTTTTTCATCTTTAACGTCAGTACCAATGATGCTGCCGTCACACCACTGCGCACGTGTTTGCGTGTATTTCGATGCAATATCTCACATGCACCTGCCTCACCCCACTCTGATGTGCGCCGCCGCCTTGCCACTGACCGGGCTTATGTGCGCGACATACCCCCACAGGCCATCTGGGACAACCAGTTTTACTACCTCTTTGGCTTTTTGTTCCTCGTCTTTTTCATCCTGCTTCTGTCATGTGCCGAAATTGCCATTGTCATGAGCTATCTTCAGCTTTGCTCCGAGGTGCGGCCATGTCACCTGACCCACTGTTGGCGGCGTGCTCACGCTGTGGATGCTTTCTGGCCGCTCGTCTCTCACCGTGCGCACGTGGATGTTGTACCCAGGACTATCACTGGTGGTGGCGCTCCTTCATCGTGTCGGGGGGTGCAGCCGTTTATGTGTTTTTGTACAGTGTGTTTTACTTCCTGACCAAACTCAAGATTGATGACACGGTGTCCACCATTCTTTACTTTGGCTATAGCCTGATTATGGTGCTCGTCTTCTGGATTGCCACCGGTACCATCGGCTTTAGCGCCACTTACTGGTTTGTGCGGACCATCTACGGCTCCATCAAGATTGACTAGTCAACTGCACAGAAAATTGCCCTCAATCATCGACAGCATGCCTCCAAAGGCAACGCCCACGCCTGTTGTTGAGCGCCTACTTCCTCGTCTCCCCCGCTTCTCTTTTTGTATTTTCTCCTCTCTCTCTCTCTCTCTCTCTCTCTCTCTCTCTCTCTCTCTCTCTCTCTCTCTCTCTCTCTCTCTCTCTCTCTCTCTCTCTCTCTCTCTCATCCCTCCTGCGAACTCTCTTGCTCTTGCTCCTTCTCACTACTCTCGTGTACAGAACGTGTGCGCATGGTAGCGTGAGAGTTTTGTGGCATGTGTCCCCGCCTGGGCGCCAACCTGACGCTCTCGTGCGTTCTCGTCTGTTCTGTTTCTATAGTCAGCCTCCTCTCCCTCTCTTTGTTTCAGGGACCTCCAGCACCCATCCAAACGTGCTCCTCCAGCACGGCATCACGCACGCACACAAACACACACCTGCCTTGCTTGTGCCTCTGCTGCTGTGTGCCATATCAATCAATCCAAGTTTTACTTCACATTTCAATACACGGACATGTACCTCTGTGCATGAAAGGTCAACAATACAATATTAAGTACACACCATTAGGCGCCCACATGACTGCCCGGTGCGACCCGGTATCAGATGACCGTCTGAACGAAAACATGAACATTTGCACCGTACCAGCAGAGACTGGCGTTGAAGGAGGGAAGCTCGGCGCTCCATTACCTTCGAACGGCGCCTAGATGCTGATACCAAGTCCATTGTCAGACACAAAGCTCTAAACTTTCGACCTCATCTCCCCGAAATGAACCCAAACGACTGAAGCACATCCGAGTCCTCGCCCATTCCCAAGAGACTTCATGATCTACGATGGCATTGTCGGCATCTGCCATGATACGCAAGCCACGGCTACTCAATGTGACACACAGTCCAGTTGATATCTGCCACAACCTGCCCGGAAGGAGATGATGCGTCCAGTCTCCTGACCAAACAAAGAGACCTTGGCAATCGGTGATCCAAACCTCGCGCAGTGCGCCTTGTCTTTAACAGTAGATCAAGCTTTCCAAGGTACTTTTCATAAAGCGATTGATGAGATGCATTGCCCACCAAATGTTTGGAGCAGCTGGACAGCACGACACCTGAGGGTGACCAAGAAAGAGGAGGTTGAACGTTAATTTTGAAATAAATCTAAGCAATCGTGTAGTACACGACCAGCTCGGGGTAGATTTGATCGTTGTCGAAAACGATCACTTCGCTGAATTCCCCAGGCGGCGTTGCGATCACCGAATCATATCTAAGGGCCAAGCACATCATTCAGGATCTCCGTCATAGCTGACATGCATGAATGAACAACGGCAGCCGACGCACCGCTCGTTGTTGGGCGCCTGGGGCAAGAGAGGCGGGGCCGACGCCTTGGGGTTGGGTGATCTGTGGACAAAGGCATGGCCCAACAATACCCGCGTGATAATCAGCGTGCGCTCACCATTGGCATCAGGCGGGTAGGTATACTGATGACTCTAACATGCATGCATAATAACATAACGAAAGACCGTGAGAAGTATAAACATGGTTGCGCACAGCACTGGAAGCGAAATGAGACACTTTTCCATCAACGACCCACCTTGCCGGGGTGGTCGGTCTGATAGACACCATGGCCAAAACGAGTACCGGAGCTGCTACCAGCAAACCGATAGTCAAGGCCCAGGCGCACAATCTTGTCGCGCAGCGTGCGGTCGGCGTGAAGGCCATGAAGCAGCAGCCGCTCCTGGCACGGCATATCTCGAAGCAAAGCTGGCTGACCCGGCAGCGCATCCACCGTCGCTGTCAAAAGCTGAGCAAAGTGCTCGTAGTGTGCGGTGCGATTCACCATCTCGCGTCGCTTGTTGCGGTATCGCTCCCACAGCACGGGGTTGTGCACGCGCTCGACCCGATTGACAGTCATGTTTCGGGGACCCCGCTCGTTCTCACTCAGCTGCATCAAAAGGTTACCCACCTAATAACATTGTTCATCATGCACGATTGAACGGCAAACATAACAAGATTCTGCTCAGTTCAACCGTCAGCAACAAGCGACATACCTCAGAGATCAGCTCGGGCGCATTCTGCAAAACCTCAACGGCTGGCCCCACGTCAGCAGTGCTGGACTGGTTGATGACAAACTCAATGTTCAAAAGGCTCGGACGTTGCTTCGAATCAGTCGAAAGCAAGGCTCTTGTTTCTTGGTACAGCTTGCTTGTCGAATCGCACATCTACAACGAGAACAAGCACGAGCGTGAGCCGCAATGGCAACACTACAAAGAAAGGCAACACCAACCTCGCTGGCTAGATGTGGAAATTTGCAGATCATGTTTCCTGCGGTTTCGGTTTTTGAATCCCAATTGCACTTTTCAACGAGCTCATCAGTGGGTAAGACAGCGGGAGGCACCGTCTGTGGAAACATGTACGCATTGTAAAGGACACAGCCAAAGGAAAACGCATCCTGTGCCGGGCGCGCACCCACACGGCCCCGACCGAACAGCACCTCAGGTGCTATGTACCCGACCGTGCCTGCTGTTGCACAGGTGGCGAAAGGCAAGTAAGTGCTTTCAGCAACGGCCTTGGCAATGTCGAAATCGCCAAGCCGCACTCGAGGGTGATCCTCCGAGCCGTCCAGCATGACGTTGCTGAGCTTAACGTCACGATGCACCAAGCCCTTGCTGTGCATGAAAGCTAGGGCTGTGCGTAGTTGAAGCATGAGTCCTGCAAGGACCTCTGTAGTGACAAGGAGTCGATGCTTACTGAGCCATTGCTGTAGATCACCCTGCGCACACCACGGCTGAATCAGATATGCACTTGGAGCTGACTGGATCTTGCTGTGCACATCCATAAAAGCTCCCAAGACAGGGATAATGTACGGGTGTTGGAGCTTGCGCATGGCACGAAGCTCACGGAGAAAGGCATGGCAATGCTGTTCTCTGTCCTGCCGGGCAAGCACATACTCTTTAACCGCCAACTGTTGTTGAGGCATATCGAACAGCGCCACGTTGGCCTGGTGCACATTGTGATTGCGGCTGTAAAATAATTCAAGCTGGCCCAGGCTGGAGCGCGTCAGTGTTTGGTCCACTTCCGCCATAATCTCTACGATAAGGCCGCCTGGAATATCAGGACCAAGAACCTCGCGAAGACGCACTCCGAACGCGCTCTGCTCAGGATGCAACAGCACCAGAAGCGCTGGAAAGTGCCGTTTCAGCAGCGACGCCAATTCTGCCACGTGATCAACAAGCGCCCAGCGTTTCAGCTTCTGCTGCAATTTGGTGCGCTTCATTTCCAAGTGTTTCAGCTTCTGCTCAAATGTGGAGCGGGGCGCGTTGGACCCCTGCATCATGCCTTGAATCTCTCCCTCAATATCTGACAGCTCTTGATGCGCAGCCTCAGCCTTTTGATTGCGCTTGGCAAAGTTGTCGGCAAGTCCTCTACACTCAGCCAACACAGACACTGTCTGAGCTTGCCAGTCGGTCATGTCTTGCAGCTGTTTCACCAGAGATTCAGCCTCCTCATGTACAAACGCTAGATACCAGGCGTGCTGCTTCAAGTCGGAGGGGGCTCGCCACTGGGCGACCTTGTCAAGCCCATTCTGATCAGTTTGGCTGAGCTTCATGTGGGCTTGGCAAAGTTTCGTCCAGTCGTTGGGCGAGCTTCGAGACGTGAGGGCCTCATCACCGGGTTGGCACTTGACTCTTGACCGCAGCATTTTCACGCGATTGCTTCCTACTTGTGACACGTGTTCTAGGGCATCAATGAGTACGAGTAATCGGAGCTTGATACGGCTGTTGCTCCTCCTGAGGAGATTCGAACGTTCGTCGTCAGCCTTTTGAAAGCTGGCCAGCTGGTCAATGGCCGCTGCAAGATTGACAGGAGGGTTTTCCGGAGCAGGCAGATAGGTGGTGGATGGAGCAGCAAATGATTCCAGTCCCGCACGAAGCGCGTGAAGCGCCGGTTCCAGTTCAGGCTGAGATACCAGGTCGTGCATTGCTTTGAGCTCTATTTCGAGAGTGGTGGTTTCCAAATTCAGCTGGTTCATGCGAGTGGATAAAGCTTCGGGCACTTTGAACACTTGATCGAGCGCAGAGCGCGCCTTGGTCGCTGTGACACGGAAAGCGGTCCAGTCCACGTGAGGCAAATCCACGGGCGCTGCATCAATCATCTCTTTGATAAGTGTGGCAGAACTCCGCACGCCGGGGTTGTGTTGGATGGCACCGGCAACAAAGGCGTCGAGGTGCGGATATGGGCGAGTGGTCGCATGTTGGGGCAGCATCGGCTGCAGCATAGCCTCCACTGCCACAACCAACGAGGCCGACGTCTGTCGCAGTTGCATGGGCAAGGCCTTTGTGAGGTGGTGCGACTATGGGAAGTGAAACGGATGAAAAAGAAGACAGAAGAATATACAGGATGATAGACACACCGCCACGGTCGGGGCAGCGCTAGGCAGCGGAGGAAGCCAGGCGGGAGACTGAGGTGGCTCGGGCCGGGCTGCAATTGAGCTTGATTGTGGTTTTGGGCGTGAATGGGCGACTGAGGATGCAGATGCTGGCCGAACAACGCGACTTGCAGTCTAGGAGGACAAGGCGAGAGAGACGCAGGTCAGCCACCTTGACTGAAGCCACGATGACCTTGATCAAAGCAGCACCATGCCTGCGAGGAGGAACCCGCGCTCGCTGGACGCGAGGCTGGCGTGGGCGTTGGACGGGGTTGAGCTTTTTGTACAGCTGTGTGAGCTGCAAAGACGGGCTCCATCTTGTCGGCATGTCCCCTTCGACGCGCCACGTCGAGCGGTGTCCTGCCTTCCTATTCAACACGTGAAGAAACGAGTAGAGGATGGCCAACGAAAAGGAGATATGAGAAGTACACAAGTAGGGTGATGGGTATCGCAAAGGGTGGGAGTCAAGATCAGCGACGGCAGCGCGTGGCAGCGGGCTCGAGTTTAGTTTTGCGGACATTTGGTAAAGGGCAGGAGTACAAGAGCACGAGCAGAACACGCTATAAGCTTCAAGTGCTTAGAATAAAACGATGAAAAATGACCGGTTCAAAGGTGTAAAAGTGGCTTTGGGCACCAAGAGAACGGAGCAATGTGTTAGGTGCTGGCGATCAAGAGAAAAGAAAGGAAGCACAAGAGGGACGGGGGAGAAGAAAAGAGCGGGTCACAAGCCTTGGAAGAACATGCTTGATGAACGCAGGGGAACAAGAGTAATGGGATGGGACGATCGGATGGAAGGGCAGGGATGATCGGGTGAAAGGGCAGGGATTCGAGCAAGATGGACGACATGGAGGAGTATCTCGAGGGAGCATGCCGGGCCTAGAGGATCGCCACCACCAACGCAAGGCGAAGCATCGGCAAGGAACGGCCATCAGAGCAGGCAGGGACATCTGTACTGACGTTGTCCTTGACTTCAACATCAACACCGTGCCTCAACAACATCTCCACCACCTCGGCACGGCCGTTGTGGCAGGCCCAGTGCAGTGGTGTACCGCCACCCTATGGGATGATGCATCAGCATGACGTACAGGTACAGCATCATCATCATCATCATCATCATCATCATCATCATCATCATCATCATCATCATGTGGTACAGGTCAGGGATAAGGGGGGAAAGAGGGAGACACTGTACTGACGTTGGTCTTGGCTTTCGCATCAGCACCGTGCTTCAACAGCATCTCCACCACCTTGACACTGAACTCTTGACAAGCACTGTGCAGTGGTGTCCAGCCACCCTACGGGATGATGCATCAGCACAACGTACAGGTACAGCAGCATTACCATCGTCATGTGTACTATACTGACGTTATTCTTGGCTTTCGCATCAGCACCGTGCTTCAACAGCATCTCCACTAACTGGGCATAGCCTCTTCGGCAGGCATAGTACAGTGGTGTCCAGCCAGTCTGTGACGCGATGCATAAGCATGATGTACAGGATCATTGCCGTCGTGTGGTAGAGGCAGAGGTGAAGGGAGAAAGATGGAGGTACTATACTAACGTTCTGGGTTTTGGCATTTGCATTAGCACCGTGCTTCAACAGCATCTCCGCCACCTTGACAATGCTATTTTGACAAGCACTGTGCAGAGGTGTCCAGTCATCCTATGGGATGATGCATCAGCATGATGTACAGGTACAGCAGCATTAGCATCGTCATGTGGTACAGGTAGGGGGAAAAGGAGAAAGAAAGAGACACTGTACTGACGTTGGTCTTGGCATTCGCATCAACACCGTGCTTCAACAACATCTCCACCACCTCGACGTAGTTGTGATGACAAGCATTGTGCAGAGGTGTCCAGCCATCCTATGGAATGATGCATCAGCATGACGTACAGGGACAGCATCATCGTCATCATCATCATCATCATCATCATCATCATCATCATCATCATCATCATCATCATCATCATGTGGTACAGGTCAGGGATAAGGGGGGAAAGAGGGAGACACTGTACTGACGTTGGTCTTGGCTTTCGCATCAGCACCGTGCTTCAACAGCATCTCCACCACCTTGGCACGGCCGTAACTGCAAGCATTGTGCAGTGGTGTCCAGCCACCCTATGGGATGATGCATCAGCACAACGTACAGGTACAGCAGCATTACCATCGTCATGTGTACTATACTGACGTTATTCTTGGCTTTCGCATCAGCACCGTGCTTCAACAGCATCTCCACTAACTGGGCATAGCCTCTTCGGCAGGCATAGTACAGTGGTGTCCAGCCAGTCTGTGACGCGATGCATAAGCATGATGTACAGGATCATTGCCGTCGTGTGGTAGAGGCAGAGGTGAAGGGAGAAAGATGGAGGTACTATACTAACGTTCTGGGTTTTGGCATTTGCATCAGCACGGGGAACACATTGGAATAGGGTACAGCCAGCCTGTGGGATGATGCATCAACATCACGTACAGGTATAGCAGCATCATAAGGAAGTGACGAGGGTGTTGTACTGACCTGATTCTTAGCTTCAGTATCAGCACCGTGCCTCAACAGCATCTCCGCCATCTTGACATAGTCCTTTTGGCAGGCACTGTGCAGAGGAGTCCAGCCATCCTGTGGGATGATGCATCAGCATAACGTACGGTTACAGCAACATCATCGCCGTCATGTGGTACAGGTCGGGGGAAAAGGAGAAAGAAAGAGACACTGTACTGACGTTGGTCTTGGCATTCGCATCAACACCGTGCTTCAACAGCATCTCCGCCACCTTAACATGACCGTGATTGCAGGCACTGTGCAGAGGTGTCCAGTCATCCTGTGGGATGATGCATCAACATGACGTACAGGTATATCATCATCATCATCGTTATCATGTGGTCCAACCATAGGGGGCAAACATAGGAAGAAGGAGACTGTACTGACGTTGTTCTTGGCTTTCGCATCAGCACCATGCTTCAACAGCACCTTCACCGTTTCGGCATGACCCTCAATGCACGCACTGTGCAGTGGCGTATTGCCACCCTGTGGCATGATGCATCAGCATGACGTACAGATAGGTCTACCATCAAGAGTAGGCAGCGGAGCAAGAGGGAGCTTCTGTACTGACGTTGGTCTTGGCTTTAGCATCAAAACCATGCTTCAACAGCAGCTCCACCAACTTGACATAGCCCTTTTGGCTGGCACTGTGCAGAGGAGTCCAGCCATCCTGTGGGATGATGCATCAACATCACGTACAGGTATATCATCATCATCACCGTCATGTGGTACAGGTCGGGGGTAAAGGGAGAAAGATGGAGGTACTATACTGACTTTATCCTTGGCGTTCGTATCAGCACCGTGCCTCAACAGCATCTCCGCCATCTTGACATAGTCCTTTTGGCAGGCACTGTGCAGAGGAGTCCAGCCATCCTGTGGGATGATGCATCAGCATAACGTACGGTTACAGCAACATCATCGCCGTCATGTGGTACAGGTCGGGGGAAAAGGAGAAAGAAAGAGACACTGTACTGACGTTGGTCTTGGCATTCGCATCAACACCGTGCTTCAACAGCATCTCCGCCACCTTAACATGACCGTGATTGCAGGCACTGTGCAGAGGTGTCCAGTCATCCTGTGGGATGATGCATCAACATGACGTACAGGTATATCATCATCATCATCGTTATCATGTGGTCCAACCATAGGGGGCAAACATAGGAAGAAGGAGACTGTACTGACGTTGTTCTTGGCTTTCGCATCAGCACCATGCTTCAACAGCATCTTCACCACCGCGACATGACCCTTTTGGCAGGCCAGGTGCAGTGGTGTCCAGCCACGCTGTGGGATGATGCATCAGCATGACGTACAGGTACAGCAGCATTATCATCATCATCATCATCATGGGGTACGGGTGCACCATCAAAGGGGTAAAGGGGGGGAGAGGGAGGTACTATACTGACGAATTCTTTGGCTTTAGTATCAGCACCGTGCTTCAACAGGATCTCCACCACCTTGACATGACCCCTAATGCAGGCCCAGCGCAGTGGTGTATCGCCAAGCTGTGGGATGATGCAAACATGCAGTATATGTCCCATGTTATTATACCATAACTTATCGAATGTCACAACAGCATACCAAACAGCATACGTACATATTTGTATTGGGCAGCATCTCGAACACGTTGTTGGTCCCAACTGGTCACCAGCTGCAGCGCCTCTCGTGGATCTGATGACCGACACGCCCTCCACAGCTGGTGTTCATCACTCCATGTACTCGTCATGATGAAATTAACATCCGGGATGAAAATTTTTCTCTGCCATGAGCCCCCTCCAAATACAATAATACCGTCTCAAAACCCAATGCCGAACTGAACTGGGAGAAAAGAACGGACTTTTCACAGCTCTGCTATCCAAGATCAGCAGCCGACGAGCCGAGCGGGATCTCGGACCTGCGTCTCCACAGTATCTGCAAGAGGACGATCGCCTCACCGGTGTTCACCTCTTCCCAAAAAAAAAAAAAAAAAAAAAAAAAGACGTATTGGCTCAGCGTTTACAGGTATAACCTGCCGCATTATTCACATGTAAGTCAGATCAGATTCAGTCAAATCCATGCGATCGCGCCGTCGATTGCACCATCACTCACCTCAAGCAGTTCTTCACGATCCCAATCGAAAAAGACACGCTTCCAATCAACAAGATGACAAGGGTCACTGCGCCACCAGTGACCCAGACCCGACCGAAACGGCACGCGAAAAACCGCCGGGATCGATTCACAAGCAGAGCGAGAGAGAGAGAAATACTCGAGATCTTCACGAGCACGACGGTGCTCACTCGGATATCAAATTCTTTATTTAAGAGGGGATGAACATACATCTGGAACAGTGTTTTACAACACCTCCTCAGACACACTTGATATGTGCATGCATGCAGTTGGCGCGGACAACAAGTCACCAGAAACTGTTGCTGTCCCCATTGTCATCACACACACACACACACACACACACACACACACACACACACACACACACACACACACACATAAGGTTCATGACACTTTTTGGCGGGATCGTTGCTTGCAGGCGTCGCGTTGCCGCGACACACAGCGGGTCGCAGTGGCAACATCCACACCCTGAGTTTCCCTGCGCGATTAAGCGTGCGCGGCTTTGGTAAGCTTGTCATTCGGTCCAGTCACTCTGCAAGGGCTCCTTGTGGCGCTTCGGGTGTGACGGCTTTGACGCGCGCGGTTGTGATTTCAAGCTTGGCAGATGCTGAATTGCACCCCTGCTGATGCGCGCGGCGCGTATTTTCTTTCTGCAGGCCCATCCTCGAATGAGATCGGTTGGAAGCTGCGCTGCCGTTGATCCTCAAAACCAAGCCCCCATTCCCTGTGGCCCTTGCGCTACAGAATCACAGGCTCGATGGCCTCCATCTCCGAGGAGTACGCCGAGCAGGAGGTGTATACCGAACAAGTATACCACCACATCTTTCAGAGTGTGGATGTGGGCCAGGATGGCTATGTCGACGAGAGCGATCTTGCCCAGGCCTTGTCCAACCACGGCTTGGCCGACTCACAGGTTCGCACTGCGCTACAACGATCCAGCAACCCAGAATTGCGGGCAGCGTCGCGCCGACGCACTGGCACGTCGCTCACACCACCACGCCATTAGGATTCGGCCCTGGTGAAAGCTCGCGAGCTCATGCCAACCTACGATCAAGACCGCGACGGACGCTGGTCCGAGAGTGAATTTCGGGCCAGCATCCAGCACGCTGACATGAATGCGGTATGTACTCCCTGCCGAGCGCCCTCACCGCCCCTTGCGAGTCTGGCCAAGCCGTTGCCCCTCACTCCACTCTGCAACGTCCGCGATTCCCCCCATTGTAGCTGATGCGCAAGGCCGGTGGCAGCCAGTCGGACAGCAGTGGACGCGAGGTCATTTTTCGCAAGCATTTGGTCCGCGAGTACGACGATGCTGCCGACGAGCACCACGCCCGGGAGCTAGAGAATCTGCGCAACGAACTGATTGAACACGAGGAGCAGATGCTGGAGCAGATGAAAGCGCACTATGAGCGCCTGTTGGCCCAGCTTCACACCGAGCTGGAGCGAGTCGACGGCGAACGCCGCGACGCAGAACAGCGCGCCAGCACCGAAGATGTTGCCACTACCAAAGCCCGCTACACACGCCTCATGGTACGAGCGTCCTGGACTGGCGCAAAAGATTTCTTTACCAAAAACTTGCTCACGCCTCATGCTTTACCCATCTCGTACCCCCATCGCGCAGGAGGAACTTGAGGCTGAATTGGATGAGGAGCGGAGTGCTCGACACCGGGCCGAGCGCGAGGTCCGTGATCAAAAGCTCGAGTTTCATGCCTACCAGCAAACCATGGAGGAGCGTCTTTTCACGGCTCAGCGCGATCGTCGCAGCCAGAGCGCCGATGAAGAGGACGACGGCCTTGAAGAGGTGTATCGCAAGCGCATCCAAAGTCTCGAGCGTCAGCTGGCGGAAACCCGCGAGCTTCTGCACGAGAGCGCCGCCAACCAAAATCAGCCCTTGCCGGTGCAGTCCAGTCGGGCTCCCGAGTACACCGTCGTCACAAAAAATGTCACCGTCGAGGTTGAAGACGTCGAGGTGGAGGATGACGGCGCCGCCGACAACCACATGGAGCTGTCGGCCTTGCGCGAGGAAGTGGAACATCTGACGCACTCGCTGGAATCACAGCGTCGAGCACAAACGGTCATGCAAACCAGTCACGCCGAGGAAGTGCGCGAGCTTCGTGAGAGACTGGCTTCCCAGAACGCGCTCAACAACTCGGTCTTCTCGCGCCAGGAGGTCGAGGACGCGCAAGAGCGAGAAATGACTCGCCTGCGCTCCGATTATGAGCAACTGGAACGAGAGGCGGCAACATTGCGTATCGAAGTCAAACGCCTCAAGGCTCAACACAACAGCCAGACCTCAACAGAACAGCGCGAGAAGAGTCGGTTCGAGGAACACACGGCCGAGTTGGAACAAAACTACAATTCAGCACTGGATGACATTCGCCGCCTGAGCCAGCGCCTCCGTGATAGCGAAGTCGCCCTCCGCGAGCTGCAAGATGAACGCACTCGCGAGCAGGAGGAAGCGCAACAGCAGCGCGATCGAGATGCTGCTGTTCAGCGCGAGGATGTCAACCGTGCGCATCGCTTGCAACAAGAACTGGATGCTGCGAGAGCTGAGAATGAGCGCCTGCAGCAGCTCTTCAATGAGGCACAACAACGCCAGCAGCAAGGCGACTTGGCCAACGACGAACTCCGCACCAAAAGCGAACGTTTGCAGCGCCAACTGGATGAGGCCCAACGTAATCAACGGCCACAATCGAGCGAGTTGCCCTCGGACGCGCCGACGCACGAAGTGAAGATTCACGTCACTCATGAGCAAGAAGGCAAGAAGCGCGAGCCACCTCGTGGTGCGAGCTATTCGCCGCTGAAAGATCGCACACAGCTCGAGACTGACCCAAGCACTCTACGCGAGGCGCAAGACATGTTGGCGGATGAACGCGTGCAAAACGCGCAGCTGAAACAAGACCTCGAAATGTTGCGGCGTTCGCGGGAGCGCCTCGATGACGAGGATCAGCAGCTGCTTGAGCGCTATCAAGACTTGAGTGATGAGCTATCTCGCACGCAGGTGCAGCTTCAGCGCCTGCGCCACCGCTACGAGGAAGAGCAGTCGCAGGTCTACGTCCTGGAAGACAAGCTAAATCTACAGCGCAAGGTTGAACTGGAGCAGCGCGAGCGCATCATCGAGCTCGAGGCCCAGCTTCGTGATCGCCCCAACCGCGCCACCTATATTTTTGGTAGCGAGCGTGAGCCCGGTACCCTGACTGCACAGGAGGTGGCCTCGCTATTGCGCGACATGCGTGATGGTGTACGCATGCCCCACGATGAAGGGCACCGTCACTCCCGTCACTCCCGCCATTCATCGCACCACAGCTCTGGACAGTCGTCACGGCACGCATCGCCCCGGGCGCGGCACCGCAGCCCAAGTGCAGAACGAGGACGCTCGGCACACCGAGATATCGAAGTACAGCGTTGGTCCGAGTCCAGGGCTAACAACAGCCATTCTCGCCATCGGGACCAAAGCCCCATGTCAGACTCGGGGAGTGATGCCAGCCGCCGTAGCCGCCACAGTGGGGGCCACTCGCGGCGACACTTTGAAGAGCGCTGGGAGATCCGCGAGCAAGACAATGGTGGTCACTCAACTGCGCTGCTGCGAGCCGAGCCACAATATGATCAAAGCTATGACTCGGGCGGCCGCTCCCCCAGCAAGTTTCACATTGTGGCGCGCCACGTGTCCTCGGAAAATCAGCAGATGCAGGCCCAAGATTCGCCCCGCGCACCCACGCCGGTGCTGACCAGGCTGCCACACAGTGCCACGCTGCGGGGTGGTGCCGTCATGATGCCCAGTTCAGTGTCGGTGGGCAGCAAATTGCAAGTGGCTCAATGCAGCAGTAGCAGCAGCAATAACAACCGCATTCAATACGTTTCGCCCGTCGACCTGAATGCGAACAACATGACCTCCTTTGTTCGAGAGGAGCATGAGGAGAGCCACACGGAGGGTGGCAGGGGAAGCGGACGAATGCGTTATGAGCTGGCCAGCGGTCCGGATTACGTATGTCGCTCGACCCCAGCCTCTGGAAATCAAATTTCAACCCATCGCACGGCCACCGTGCAGCGCACCTGGCAAGCCAGCTAGGTCTGAAGCAAAAACGGGATCGTCAACAAGAATCTGATGATTTCCTCGTTCGAGTGTGTTCCAGAGCAAGTGACCGCGTGAATGTGCTTGCTTGAGCGAGCAATAATAATAATAATAATAATATGCTTTTTCCTGTACAAAAAAATAGAGGTGATGTTGAGCGCACAGTGAGAGGCTCTGAGACGGCGTTTGCACAACCCCGCCTCGCATCCTCTTTGCCAAAAGACACCAGAAGTGAATATCACTGGCGCAAATAAATTCGGGGAAGCAAGTTGATGTGAAGTCATCAAACTTTCCGTATCTGGTGGCCTGACGTGATCAGGTCAATACTTATCGGGCAGATGGGCAAATCCCAAGTTTTTAGTGGCCAAACATGTCAAGGTTGTTCACAGGATGTCGCTGCTGGTTTGCAAACGCTGGAAGCTCTAATGTTGATTTTGTTTCGACATGCCTTCTCACCCGCCAGTTAATAAATTCGCAGGAGCCCTTTTTGCTTGTCTGTGCTCGTGAGCTATTTTTTCCCTTTCCCTTATTTTTTGGCACTTTCAAAACAAGGACTGCACGAGGTGCTCAGAAATATACATCGCTTGGCTGACCCATGACTCATAGCAGCGATGGTCATAGCACGCAATGGTGCTGCCATGAAGACCCCGAGCAAAGAACGTCGTGCAGAGAAGAATTAGAAAAAAAAAGCACGTAAATTGGCATGAAATCGAGGATAAAGATGCAGAAAAGAAGAGTCCGGCGTGCCCGAAAAGGGAGAGGACGGGGACGGGAGCGAATACGTTGAGAGGTTGATAGGGCTAGTGGGTTGGCGACGATTCGGTGGCTTCTCGCCAACAACGAATAGACGCACTCATAAAGGGGTAAGATGAGTACAAGAACACAAAGAACACAAAGAGTTGAATAGGCATGTTTTCCAGGACTAATGGCCTAAGAAAGCGGCTTGCTTAAAGTGGCGCGGCTTTGCTGGCGAAGGGTTTTCCGCTCAAAGACGTCTGCTCGGCAGAGTGGGCATTGGTATAGCTGCTTGGCGCAGGTGTGACAGGCACAGGCATGACCACACGGGTTGAAGCGAACTTGCGGGGCCTGGTCCAAGCATACCTGCAAGGCGCAAGCATCGAGCGAAAGTTGGCAGGCAGCGTGAGTGTTGCAAACGCGCTACAACCCTATCACATCGAATCCGGTGGCAAACCCTGCTCTATCCCAAACTTGGATGGGTAGGCCGGTGCGTACCGTGCATTGATCGAAAACTTTGCCCGCACTACCGCGACTCCCACGGCTACTGTGGCTGCCATGACTTTCGGCGCTGCACACGCTCACCGCGTCTTGCCCACCCGAAGTTGGCACCAGGGGTTGGCTGAGTTTGCGCAGGCGTGACTGGATGGTGTGCAAAAGTTTCTCGTCGCGGCGGAGGGGGGATTGCACCACGTTTTCCAGCGCGTGCCGTAACGCGCGCCGCTCCTCGCGGGCATCACTTAGAAGCCGGTGCAAATGAGCCTGCCAAGGACAAGGAATACATCGGGGAGAGGGTCAGCTACGTGCTATGGCTTACCACAACCTCTGTGGGACGGTGTTTAGCAGCCAGGGCCAAGGGTTGGGACAAACCATCAAGAGGTAGGCTTGGGCCATTTCCTGGCATTGGGCAGGCGTACGGGTTGCTGGTTCGATGCGTGCACTGGTATACTCGGAAAGGAGCGACACGGCACGGAGGGCGTGTGTGACATCACCGTGTCGAGATGTGAAGGCACAGTGATGGGCTTGGGCCAAGTGCAGAAGGCAAAGGCGGTAGCGCTCGTCCGCTGAGCCGACCGTGTTCTTGGCCAAAGCTCTGGTTTGGCGCAGCTCAAAGATGGCGTTGTTAATTTTTTTCTGTTGAATGAGAGCCTTGGCCAGTTCCACGCGAATGTGTAACAAGGTCTGATACATGTTGCGCAGATGATGGGCAAATGACATACGTGAGTGTCCGGTGAGTGGGAAAAAAAAAAAAAAAAAGAGTTGCTCGGGGCATGGTCATAAGGATGGGGGGTTTAGGTTTGGGACGTACCTCGCTGCGATCGGGCAAGCCAGAAAAAAGCTTGTAGGCGTCGCGCCAAGCTGCTTCCGCTTCGGCCCAGCGGCCGGCCAGTGTGGCCCGGGAGGCGGCATCGCGATGGCGCCGAGCTCGAGCCAGTCGCTCCTCCGGGGAAATGGTAGCGGCCGGCGGCGATGGTGCTTGCTTTGTCATCGTGTGGCCCGTGTTTGGTTGCCCAGATCCGGGTGCGGATGCGGGGGCGGAGTGAGGCGAGGCCATCGTTGGGCGGGTAGCAAGGTTAGCCACGGGGGCTAGAAGCGGGGTACCATTCATGATAAATGGGTTGGCAATCAGCGAGGCACGCGGCGAATCATCGCGATTGGCAACGAGGCTGGGGTGGCGCGAGTAGATGCCCAAGGCCGGGACCACCTGGGTCGCGTAATCAACGGCTTGAGTGTCGGTGGATACGAGGGGGTCAGGGACAGAAGTATCCACCAAGGCAGGCGATGAGGGCCAAGGCGGAGCGCTGGCAGCAGGGGCAAACGTAGAGGTGCGATGGGAGCCGGTCTGATCCTCAGACAACACCTCCTCCGCTTGGCTGGAATCGGATATGCCCCCGCTGGGTTTGGCAGCAAGCGCGTTGCTTAAGGAGGGTCGTTGCGAGGTAGGGGTGGAAACGGGGTAGCACTGTCCAAGACCACTATCACAGCTCGCCCGGTCAAGGTCTTCTTCCTGATCTGAGCATGCGTGGGATAAAATGGACAGACACTGGCTGTGGCTGTGGCTGTGGCTGCGAGTGTTGAGGCTGCTGTCGTCGTGGCGGGCGCGATAGTCGTCAGCGTTGTCGCTAGCGCGCCGGCGCAAGCTGCCTTGGCGAGTTCTGCCGATACCGCAAGTATCCGGATCGTGGAAGTCGACGCCCTCGTTGCAGGTCAGGGACAGGGCGGCCACCAAATCGGGGAGCGATCCCGTGGCCAAGAGCGGTGTTGTCGGATCCAAACTGTTGGAGCGCGAGGAGGCGGTGGAGGAACTGTGCGAGCTGGCACTCGATTTGGCGCACCAGCGCCGCAAGGGCGATACCGACATTGCAGCGTGTGTGTGCGTGTGTGTGTGCGTGATGTGACGGCTAGTGTGGATGAGCAGGCTGTGGTAGGCAAGCGGACTAGCGGGCCGCCTCTGCTTCTTTTCGCACTCTTGAAGCCACCAACCAGGCGGTGGTGGATAGAGTGTGCAAGTTTGGAACGCACACGTCTTGGCAATGGTTGCCAAACGCGAGAGCAAGCCGTGGGTGGTGCGCGCGCGTGTGTGTGTGAAGAGCAGCAGGTGTGGTGGGTAGCGAGGTATGGCTCTTGTCGGGAGGTGGTCAAGGCCGCTGGTTGCGGGTTGCTGGTCAACCGGATCGTGCAACGAGTGTAAGTGTGCACTTTGGGAAGGCCTTGATCAGAGCATGCGATTCAAGAGCCAAAATGTCCAGGGAAGACCGCGACGCAAGGACGCATCAACGCAATCGTGCGTGGTCGAGGGACAGGAGGCCAGGAGCACTGTAAATACCATGCGGAAGCAATCGCCGACCCTCTTGCCTCTGAGAAGGAGGAGAAGACAGGAAGGAGTGAGGAGGAGGGTGGCCATGCCTGGCCTTCTGAGAGCGTGTGTTGGTTTTCCGAAGCCCCTTTTCCACGAGCCCACGACGCACTTGTCCGGTTCAACCGGGCCCAAGCCCACTCATGACTTTTGTACCCACGAGCAGCCTGGAGCGTTGCGAGGTGCGCGCATTATATCGGCCAAGCACAGAAGAGTTGACCAAGTGGGCTGAGCAGCTGACTTGTTGTTGTAGCCACAGCTCCACCAAATATGTGTGTGGGATCGGCCCCAGTGTAGCGGACACAGACCCTCGCGGGCCTTTGAGCAAGGATGATCCTTCTCGGGGATGGTACGGCATCAATTCAAGTCGTAGTAGACGGGTGCGAATCAAGACGAGAATGAGAATGGCTTCACTCACCCGACCGGGGAGTGAGTCGAGGCGAAGGCGGGCGAGAAAGCCCGTAGCATGCAAGGACCCTTGCTCGCATCAAGAGGGCGCCGTTTATTTTTTATCTTTCTCTTCCCGAGTTGAGATGACGGCTATAGCGCTGCAAAGCGCTGCTGGGTCGACGTAACCGTCTGGATGGCTCACTGGTCAAGAATGCGGGGGGGCGGGCTTTTGGACATGTGAACACGACGTAGCGTAGCGGTGGGGTTGGTACACAGCCGCCGTGTGATTTTGTATTATTTTGAAAGACATTGGACATGTGGTTGGGGCCGGAGCGAGAGCTGGATTAGTAGGAACCAACGAGACAGGCGGCAGCGGCACTGGACTTGCCAGCGCACGAGCTTGTGCCGTGATGCCTCTCTCGGGCGTCCTTGCCCGATTTCTTTCTTTCCCCACACAATCTTCAATGGGCATCGAGTCATCAATTTGCCAGGTGGTAGCACAGCTGTTTCCCACAGCTGTTTCCCCATACTATGCGAGGCGCGTCGGGCGTACCGGAAGCATCTCTCTGTCGCGTCAAATCAAGAGTCACGGACCAATTTGGACAAACTCATCATCCGATTCGTCGCTCTCGGCGGGACTGTCATAATCTGCGACGAGCGTTCCGGCTGGGGTAGACGCAACGCTGTCGTGCAGACGCTCCAGGCGCTCCATGTAATCGTTCAAAAGGTCCAGGTTGGCGCTGACCCGGGCCAGGCTGGCTCCTACCAGATCCGCCGTCACCATCCCCAGGGCCTCGTAAAAGCGGAGCAATACCTCGTCAAAGGTGGTTGTGGGCGTGTATCGCTGAGCCACCTGATCCTTGATAAAAGACCAGATCATGCCCAGCGGCTGTAGGTCCGAGTAGTGTGGAGGCAAGAATAAAACTTCGTGTCCAGCGGCCTCGGCCATGGCCACCAGCTGCGGTTTGGGTTGCCCCACTACGGCCTGCAGCCGTTGCCAGAGCATGAGATGCGTGTCTCCAAGATCGGTTGCAATGCCGTGCTCGGCACAGCAGGCGCGCAACCGGGCCGTTGACCATTCGGGCTGCGGCGCAGATGCCGGCAAAAAGGTGTGATGGCGCGCTTGATCCATCACTATCACGGCGTTGTGAATGTTGCGCTCCGCCAAGACGCCCAGACACTTGGCCATCCATTCTTGCATGTATGCGTTATCAAAGGACTCGCGGTAGTCCTTGGACTGATACCGGCCTTCGGCCTTTTTAGCCGCGTCAAAGACCTCGACCGTTTCAAACAACAGGCCCGGCCGCTGTGCCTCGAGCAGCGCGCTAGCGTCCGCCGAGGCGGCGGCAGCTGCCAGGGCGGTTGGATCCGCCGACACAATGGCTCCAATAAAACTGTAAAAGCGACCGCGGTGTCGGTCTACCTCGGAGCCGTCCGATGAGGGGCGCTGGTAGTGATGGTGCAGACACCCCTCATCCAGGTACACGATCCGCCGGGTCAGTCGCGTGGCCAGCATCCGGCGCACAAAAGTATCCCGCTGCACCAACACGTGCTGCGGCTCCAGTAGCATTGGCTGCCCAGCCAAACGAGCCCGTTTAAAGCCTACCCAGGCAATGTACCGCTGCACGCTGCGCAAAGCGCTCTCTCGGCTCCGGCTGTGCGCCAGGTCCACGGCAGGCAGGACACCGTGATCGACCAGAAACTGCAGGACATCCTTGGCTACCACCCGTTGCCGATTCAACTGTTGCTCGTATAACCAGTTGCGCAAAAGCATTTTCAGTGCCTTGGTCCGCCTGAACCGCGTTCTTTTTTTACCACGCGGCCCCGATTCGTCGGCCGCCGTCACAGTGCCCGTTTTCACAAACTCGCTCCAAACGCTGGCGCACAACTTGGGCGAGCGTCGCAGCATGCGCGCCGTCTGTTGCACGGCACTCAGCTTTTTCGTCTCGGCGCTTGACGCCTTGGACGGCCGTTGGTGTTGATAGGCCTCGTGAAGGTTGTGCGCGTGCGTAGCCACCACATCCCACTTTTCTGCCAGCGAGAGCGAGCGCGAGAGCGCCAGCCGATGTTGACGAACAGCGTTGCTCACGTACTGATACACCTCCTCATCCACAGGTTTGCGAAGGTAGGGCCGTTTGGCAGGCGGCGAAGCCTTCCCATGCTCCCGTTCCTGCTCCAAATCCCGGTCCTGGTCTTGTTCCTGGTCTTCATTCTCGCTGGTCAGATCCGAGTCGACCACCCCTCGTTCCGGACCCATCACCGCCAAGGGTGCCCCGGCCGAGGCACCATATGCTCGCGCACTTGCCCCCGAGGTCTCCGCTGCTGATAATCCCGTCATTTCTCCTGAGGCCTCTCCCACCACCGCTACCGCTACCGCCGCCGCCGGTGGCAACAACGACGCCGCCGACAGCTCTGCCATCTCTCTCTCTCTCTCTCTCTCTGAAAAAAAAAAAAAAAAAAAAAAAAAAAAAACTGTCAGCATTTTTTTTTTTTTTTTGTGTAACGGCTCATTATTAACGTGTAAGTGCGAGCTAGGGATCTGGATCACTTGCTGAGTGGTGTATAGATGGGCTGGATGAAGACTGATGTGATCATGGATGGAGAGGACGTGTCGAAGATGAGGAGTTTGCTGTCATGGTACCATGTACAACCCAGATTGGGCAAGGCATGCCCCTCAGCACGCAACTGACAACACAGGAAGGATGGCGAGGAGATAGGGAAAAAGGTTCTCTTAGGTTTGACGCTGCCCGCTGAGGCCCACTCTGTCTCTGGGCCAGCAGCGCGTTCAGCAACATATTATAGGAGGGCATCACAGGGCACTCCCCGGCGCGTTGCGGTATTGGCTCGAACAAAGAGACCATGGCCCGGTTTACAATCAAAATACCGCTTTCCTTGAGCCGATCCATCGTTCTTTCCCTCGGGCGTCTCGAGTGCAACCCCGAGCCACAAGCCATCCGCAAAATCTACCGGGCAATGCCGCCACAGGCTGCATGAGAGATCTGCTTGCACATCGCACGAGCCACCCGAATCACCATTGACTTGTCATTCAACTCGTACCTAGTGGGCCGATGTAGCCAACTTCTGCAAGATGCTTGCCTCGCACCAAAACACGATCCCCCTTTACCAGCTTTTCATGTTCGTACACGGGACGGGGCTCACTAGGCGAGTGCGAAAAAAAAAAAAAAAAAAAAATTTTGCAACCGGGCACCTGGTTAGAAAGAGAAGGAGCAAGCAATCAGAAACACGTTGCAAAACTACTTACGGCTCGGGAGCCTTGCGCTCAGTGTCACGCTTGGCAGGTCGAGTAAGCGTGCGGTTCGTCGTGGTCTCTGCCAGACTTGGCTGTGAAGCTTGGATTGAGGTCTTTGTGCCAAAGTCAACCTGAGTCGCCGAGGCCTTGCGTGGTGTTTGTGCAATGTTGGCCAGGGCCTTGCTCAAGATGACCACCTTGTCAGGTGCCACCAACACACCGTGACTGTAAGCACACAAACCCCCCCCCATAGGGGTCACAAGTGAATGCATACAATCTGATATCAGCATCCTGAAGTATGGAGTTCCAAATAGCCTTGCGAACTCATCCGAGTGGTTCAGTACGCACTTTGGCTTGCATCGAAAATACTCTTGCCCGTGCACTGTACCATTGTGTTTGCCCACGGGGGCATCCAGCTGCACCCCCACCAGCTCGACGTTGGCTCGAAAATGCACTGGTCCTGTTTCAAGTCACCCATTCATCAGCGCACGTCAGCGGTGTAGTCATGACAAGGGGTTGCCTTGCCCTTGCCCTTTGTGAGGTACATACCAACAAAGCGAACCAAGCCCGTAGCATCGTTGGTGGTCACGCGCACGCGATCCCCGACCTAAACATCCGCAGAGCATTGGGTACGAGTGTTGTGAGCGAGTGAGGTTTGGTCTGATAGGGGGAAAAAAAAAGTCGAACAACGGATCAAGGTGATCTCGGCATTGCAGGTTTCGCAAGCTCACCTCAACACTGGCCTGGTCCAGCTCCGCTTGCACCTCCTCGTAGCGGCCCGTGGTCAGACCTGTTGATGCAAGTCATGGAACAGCCCAAGAGCGACATGGATGTAAAAGTACTTTTAAGCTCGAGCTCAAGGAAGCACGTGCGTCAGAGAAAGAGTGCAGATCACAAGGAGAGAGGGTGTGTGTTGTCGGATGTACCTCGGCGTGCAAAGGTGGGGATCCGCGCCGGTGATGCACCTGCCCACTCGTCCAGAAGCTGCGCGATGCGACCAAAGTTCTCTGCAACGCCCGACGACATCATGCGCACAATCATGCCAATGAGCCTGGCCGGTCAGAGGGCAAAATCCCAAATCGACCAAGCCATGATAACGAACGGCTCGCGAGAGGATCCGGGCTTGAGGTGGCCATGATGCGGGCCAGCTGAATGGGGGTGCGACGTTCTCCGTCGCGCGTGGCTTTGTCGGCGCCAGCGATCAACAGAGCCTCCACTGTCGCAAAGGAGCCTACCAAAACGGCCAAATGCAGAGCCGTGCAGTCTTCAAACTCGCTGCATTTGACCTCCAGGTCGATGCGCCGCCCGCTTTCACACAGGAGCTGGCAGCAGGAAGAAGGGTGGACATGCCATGTGAGGGAACGAGAGCGAGCAGTATCTTGCTGAAGAAGCTTTGGTGATATCAAGAATAGGTCTGGGCTAAGAAAGAAGTTTGAAGGGAGACCTTACGCTGATGGCAGCGGCAGATGCGAAAAAAGCTGCCGTGTGCAGCGGTGTCATGTCTGTCAGGGCGTTGCGAATATTGACAGCAGCGCCCTGTTCGAGAAGTTGTTCAATAGCGCGGAGCGCAGCCTCTTCGACTTGCTGGCTCTGACCTGCCGCCTAGTTTGATTGGAGCCACAGGACCAGAACAAGCCAGCATCAGCATGCGTCTTGGGTCGTCTCAGCTCCTCGGCGCGACTCTCAAGCCCAGGGGTGGGAAGCGACCTTGCAGGCATAGTGCAGCATAGTGTTGCCACTCAGACTGTCGGTGTCATTGGGATGAGCTCCAAGCGAGAGCATCTATATCAATGGCAACATGCCATAACAGAAGCAGCTCAATTTAGTTGGACACGACCGGCAGCCGGGGCCAAAGCGGGAACTGCATCTGCGAGGACCGGGCCCGCCAACCTTGGCGATAATTTGATCCATCAAGCTCTGTGACCTCGCATCGGGCTGACGCAAGACGGTAAAAAGCTTGCCCAGTGGCGGCTCTTCTTCTTTCAATACGGCCGCTCCATCTAAATCCGCCACCTCTCGATCCTCAGGCCCCGTCTCCTGCACGAACATCGCCACGGTCTCTGCCGGGCGCAGCACCTCCACCGCCATTTCTTGCCGTCTGAGTTGATCACAAAAATGAAAAAAAAAAAAAAATTTGAAAACTAAATTTTAAACAGTCGACCAAATCTTCACTGCGTTCGCCTATTTTGTCAGACTTTTCACGCTTCCGCACGCATGAAAACGTTTTTCTACACACACACACACACACACACACACGCGTCGCCGGTCAGTCGGTCGAGATGGCGCATGTGGCAGCTCGACGGTATCATGAGGTGCAGGACCAGTGCTTTTATCGGTTGGTGAGGGCAGTGGACGCCGAGGGAGGTGGGGATACACCGGAAGGTGACTTGGTGCGACTGCGGGCCCAGCTCGAGGTGTTGACAGGGGATTATCTGTGGCATGCGGGTCAACCGAGCCTGCGGCTCGATGCCGAGCTCTCCACTCGGTCGCTGACGGTGTACCATGGCAGCCTCGATTTTGGCGAAAACGTTTTGGACGAGTGGTTTTTGACCGCTTGTCTTTTCGAGCTGGCCGAGGCGGAGCGCCTCGCATTACAGGTCACTGATATGGATGGAGAGGTGTTGTTGATTGAGGCCGCCGAGGTGATACCCACGTGGCTGACCCCGGACAACGCCGGCAACCGCATCTGGTACTTTGGGGGTCATGTGCACATTGTGCCCCAGCCCGCGCATCCGGGTCAATTTCACTTGCTGCCTCCTGCTCAATGCGGGCTCATGCAAGGTGCTGCTGCCGTGCTCAATCCAGACTTGACCACGCAGGCTGCGCCTGCCGTCACCCGCTGCATTCAGAACCGGCTCGGTCGCGCCCGCCAAGAGGCCCGTGATGCCAAGCACGTGGCTCGAACATATCTCCCCGCCAATGCCGTGGCTCTCTTGCAGCAGCAGCCCAACCTTGTCACGCATGCCGTCGCTGCATATTCCACGCGAACGCCACAAGAATTGGCCCGTGCCCAGAAAATGTCGCACTTTCCGCCCTCCACCCGCGTGATGGCCCCGGTGCGCTTCACCCGGTTCTCCTTTGCGCAACTCACTTACATGCCCACCCGACCACCGGCCGCCTTTGGTCAGATGCCCACCTCCTCTCATGCCGACTACCAAGCCCATGTTGTTGGAGCCGCTTTAGCGCTCGCCCTCGAGCTACTCTGCAACCGGGGTGAGCGCCTCTGCGGCACGTCCCAGAGCGCCTCCGCCCCATCTGGCACTGAGCCCTCTGAGACAGTGGACCACCCCGATCTGGCCACGGCTTTTCAAATGCTCGAAACGGCACGCTTTGACCAGTATTTGCAACGCTTGCGACAACACGGCTATTTTGGCTCGGAACTCGAGGGCTCACAGGCTTGGAATAAACGGATGCAAATGGCGCGCACCTACTTTGTACAGCAGGCGCAGGAAACAAGCGGGTCAGACGGGACTACGGGCCAGAGATCAGATCTCTCACCAGCTGAGCAAGCAGCAGTCCAATGTGCACAGGGCGTGTCAGCACTTGGTGATCCTCATGCTGTGACCCTGGCCTCGGATCTCGATGACATGAATACCCAATACGACAGTGATGACTGGATGCTGGTGGACGATGCTCAACTAAGCCGACTCCTGGAGGCACACCAGCTTGCATCCCCGCATGCCACGGCCTCAAATGGTGCTGGCCCCAATGGGGACCGTGCGGCCGAACAAGGCGCAGCCACCCTGTCTGCCATGACTGACAAGATAGCGGGCTTTGTTGATTCGGCTTCGGGCCTCGAGGGCGTCGATGCGCGCAACTCCTCATCCACAGCTAAACGCCGAGAGGGGCCACATGTCTCGTGGGCCGACGGAGGCAACGACGAGGATAATGAGAACATGGAGGACGAAGACGAGGACGAGGACGAGGACGAGGATGACACCGATCCCCTCAACGTTGGCGCCTTGGACGTTGATGCTGACGGGTTTCTGCAGGCGCTGCGCGCCGTGTTGAGTCTTGAGGAAACAGCAGGCCACTCATCTACCACTGGCAAAGGGGCTCATGCCAAAAACACCCGTGGTGCAGGGTTGGAAGATTTGTGGGCGCAAATGGATGCCGAACTTGCCGATACAGCCATGCACCGAAGTTTTGAGCGTGCGGTACGTCTAGCCCCATCCTATGCGTAGTAGCCACAACAGATGGCATCAGGCTGTCCTTTTTATTTTGTGTGGTTGATTCGTTTCGCTCACTCTGATCTCAAATGTCCACAGGAGGCTGCACCTACGGCGACTGCCACAGATGCCGAACAGGAGCTTGGCACCAATGATCAAGCCCAAGTGGAGGCCAACGCAGATGCGACCGATTCTACTGTGGATGTGGATCTCAATCTCGTCAAGAACCTCCTGGAATCATTTGCCGCTCAACAGGGGGACGCAGGCCCAACCTCGAACCTGCTACAATCACTTGGGTTTGAATGAGGGCGCAGAGAGCTTAGGATGGCGCTGCACATTGAAACCATGCTCTGACATCTGACCAATTCATGCACCGCCCCCATGATCTAGTCCCATTTAATCAACAATGGCGGGAGTTTGAGCCTCACTTGCCCGTCACTACGGCAGAGGCCAGGAAGGGAGGGAAATGAATTATTGAATACATAGCAACAAGAAAAAGTCAGTCAGAGAGCAACCATCCGCAAACAGAACAATGAAAGAGGGAGGCAGAGATGGAAGAGGTTCAGGTCCTGCATGGTTTCGTCCTATACGACTGCCCAGCCATGTTGTAGTTTGCTAGATATTCGACTCGTCTACACCCGAGGTATCTGCGCGATCGCGGTGAAGCATTTTGCCAGATCCAGCCGCAGCCTCATCAAAGTCCGTGGATACAGTGAGTGGCAAGTCTGACTGGGTTGACGTGGGGTCCAGGGCAACGTTGCCAGGCTGAGGCATTTTGCCGAAATTCACATTGTCGTATACGGGGCCCTGGTGGCGTTGGTGGCGCACGCTACGTGGCAACAGCAAGCGGCAGGTTGGTATGCGACATGCGTGGGCTCGGTGCAAAAGGGGCACGATACATACTGTTGATATATGCCATAGCCGAGTACAAAGGCGAATGCAAGCCAACCGATAATGGCCACGGCCACGAGCGTGTCTTTGAAAATTTATGCATCAGACCGGAGGAGAGGGACCAAACGTAGTTTGTCCAAGATGAGTATGATATCTTGATCCTTACTTTGCCACAACAAACATATGAACATGACCGCAAGCCTCGCAGCGCAAGTGCCTACATACCATAGTCGTTATCTGTATGGCTGCAGAGATTCTTGCCCTTTGATGCTGCTTGGTTTGTTTGCCCGAGGGCAGCAAAATGCAATAACCATGAGCACGCGCTTAATACTGCAAACTACAAAGCGAAGCGCAGAGGTGGCGAGGCATGACATACGACTCGTCTCTGTGGTAGTGGCGGGGGAGGTGCGCGGCAGAGTCGACAGGCCCGCATTGGGGTTACAGGTGCTGGCAGGTCCCGGTTCGGAGGAAGAAGAGGGATCGGGGGGTGATGCTGTGGTGGATGCAGAAGTGGTGGCGGGAGTGGTCGTCGTCGTCGTTGCTGTCGTGATGCCCACGTCAAAGGCCACGTCCATAACAATGTTCCTTTTGACGGCGGTCATCCACGCGCCGTCCGCGGGACTGGCCGGGCAGTTTCCAGGCTGGCCCCATGGATAGGGAACTGAATTCCAGCAGCTGGCTTGCGAAAGTGGAATTTGGGCGTATACGCTGCCACTGCTGTGGGTCACATCCTTGAAGCCAATGCGAGCTGAGGCGGGGACGGGGCTGGATGAGCGACAATGCGATTGCGCCCAGGGTATCAGACTGGAAAAAGGGACGCCATGTTGCCTGGGTGCGGCTTACGGACCACTGCTACCGGTAGCTGCTACATCGGCGTCCATACTAAACTCGAGGAGGAGGCCACTGCTGCCATCCCATTGCAAGTTGCAGAATTCAATGTCAAAGACGACTCGAGTGCCTTGCACAAGCTCATCAGAGTCCACGGTACGGGTTTGATTGGCACACGTGTTGCACACCGTTGGCGTCTAATCAACGGGTGGACGAGGCACGACATGAGGCGAAAAGCAGGAGATCCCAAGTCGTCGGATCGAAAGCGACAACCTCGCCGCCTCTGTGTGTGTGTGTGTGTGTGTGTGTGTGTGTGTGTGTGTGTGTGTCGCTCTCTCTGTCTCTCTGTCTCTCTGTCTCTCTGTCTCTCTGTCTCTCTGTCTCTCTGTCTCTCTGTCTGTCTCTTCAACCAAAGTGAGAGGCCGGTAAGGAGCCATACCATGTATGCAAAGGTCGTATCAGAGCCGTAGTTTTGAAGGAGGTTGGATGCGGTCAAGAAGCCGTCGATCCAGGAATAGGCCAGACGAATGTTGCTGAGAGCAGGCAAGTCAAACCCGGAAGTGGCAGCCACCTTGACCATCAAACCAACATTGCGAAGCGTCTGATATTCAGGGAGCCCAGCTGCTTGCAGGCTGAGGGGCGTGTACAGGCTTTGAAACCGCACAACCTTGTTGTCAGAGTTGAAGGGGCAATAACGGGCTTCAGGTGCCTGACCCTCGGCTTCCCCCTTCATCAGCTCATAATCAGCGCGAACAGTAAGCGGTCGCGCTGCCAGCACCGCCAGCATTGCCAGCACGGTCCCGGAGGCTCGCCAGGCTGCCATCATGTCCCTCACGTGCAGCCAGCCCCACGATCCGAGTCAGGATATGAATGGCCTCGCCCCGTCAACCCCCCCAACACTCACACCCACGCTCAGGCAACGCAATCCTCAACGCCGAGCCAGGCCGCCTGCTATCCAACGGCAAAGAACCAGAAGCGATCGATCCAGAGCCAGAGCCAGAGCCGTCGCTGCCGTTTGCACCCCCGCAAAAAGTTCCCGGAGCCTGTTGCACACACACAATCTGCAATAACCTCTCAAAGTGCTGCAACAAAATACCTCTTAATATCACTATTCCCCCAACAACAGCTGCACCAGCTCTATTTTTACCCCCTATAACGACAGAGAGAGGAAGAGAAGAGACAAGAGAGATGGAGAGAGAGAGAGAGATTTAGAGAGAGAGAGAAATTTTCGAGAGAGCAAGATTATTTTAGAGAGAGATTTTATAGAGAGAGTGTGTGTGTGAAATTTTAAAATTTTTTTCTCTGCTTTTGAGAGAGAGAGAGCGAAAAAGAGAGAGAGAGAGAGAGACATCATCGAGAGAGAGAGGAGGGGGACGGAGGGGGGAGAGGTGGGGAGGGTGTGAGGCATGGTCGGGATGGGTGGGGTGCATCGTGTGGTGGGCTTGGTACTGGGGCTGGTTGGTTGGTTGGGCCAGCCGTGGTCGTGGGCTGGGGCGTCGTCCGTGGGCGATGATTTGTGGTATCCTACGCGTGTGCGGAATTTGACGCAGTATCGGCTACAGCGTCGTGAGGAAGTGCGCCAGATGTTTTATGTACGCGCGCTGCTGGCTTGATGGCTGCTCTGGGCCTGCGACGCCTGCTCAGTTGAGAGCGCGCCGGCACTTTGATCACTGGAGCTCTCAGGCAGCGCCCGCCTCACTTGCTGCATTGGCGCTGTAGCATGGATTCGACAATTACATGGAGCACGCCTTTCCTCATGACGAGCTGCAGCCCCTCAGCTGCACCGGTCGCGACACTTGGGGGCCCTACTCGCTCACTCTCATCGATAGTCTCGACACGTGTGTCAGCCCGGCCCTACCTTGCGCTGTCGCGTCCCCGAACCCACCCCCGCACACCGTCAGCCCGGCTCACAACGCTGGTCGTGTCCGTTCCCCGCAGTCTCCATGTGCTCGGGAATGCCAGTGCCTTCGAGGCTGGCTTGCGTGTCACCATCCGCGATCTCAATTTTGACATTGACAAGAACGTCTCCGTCTTTGAGACCACCATTCGTATGCTGGGAGGCCTTCTCTCTGCCCACCTTGTCGCCGCGGATTTGAAGGCTCAAGACCAGCTGCAAGGCCCATATCATCAGGAACTGCTCGACCTGGCCACAGACCTGGGCGATCGCCTCCTGCCCGCCTTTGACACCCCCACAGGTTCACCCCAAGCAACCCATTGCCTTGCTTTTTTTTCTTGTCTTCACACCCTGTACACTCCTCACCAACCACACCCCATATTTGCTATTCCTCCTTCTCCATTATCGCAGCAATTCCATTTGGCACTGTCAATCTTCGACATGGTGTTCCGCCGGGTGAAACGCCGGTTTCCAGTTTGGCCGCGGCTGGAACTCACTTGCTCGAGTTTGGTCTCCTCAGCAATCTCACAGGTTTCTACCCCGCCACCCCCTTTGCCGCTGCTCTTTGGCTGCATTGGCGCAGCGGCGCCACTGCGCTTGCGCTGTTTCATTTGCCTGTGTACCCTGCTTGCTGCGCTGAATCTAGGGCGACCTGAATTCCTTGTGGCTGCACGCGGCGCTTTACGAGGGCTCTTTGCCCGCCGCTCCCGCCACGACCTCGTGGGCAATCACATTGATACCCGGACAGGTGCTCGATACATCCCTTTATCACGCTTCGTCTGCTGGTTCTGAATGACCGGTCTTTCTCCGCAGCCAGCTCATGCTTTACCGTCGCACCTCGGTGGCCAAATCACAGGGCGCTGGACCCTTCTGGACGCGGGCATCGGCTCTAATCAGGATAGCTTTTACGAGTATCTTGTCAAAGGTGTGCCAATCACCTCGGCCCCCCACCGGCTTTCTCGCGCACCAGAAATCATGGCCGACGGCTCCTCACTTGCTGTGGCACGCCCGGTGGCGCACTGGCCCCAGGCTATATCATGCTGGGTGACGAGGAGTATCTACACATGCTAGAACCCCTGTACGCAGCTACGGCGACTAAAATGAAGGTCAACGACTGGTACTTTGATGCCAATATGAAGTCCGGCGCCAAGTCGCTGCCTTGGTTTACGGCGTTGTCTGCCTTCTGGCCCGGATTGCAAGCGCTCTACGGAGATGTGGCGGCGGCTCACCGCACGCTGCTTAATTTTCAAGACGTTTGGCGCCTGTGCGTGCCCGCGCTTGCTCGCACCATTCGTGTTGGTCAACGAAGGGCTCAATCAACTGTACTTTCCACAGCTTTGGATTTGTTCCCGAGGCATACAATCTCAACACGGGGGAATTTCCGTTTGACCTCAAGGCATATTTTTTGCGGCCCGAGTTGGCCGAAAGCCTCATGTATACTTATCGTGCCACCAAGGTCGGTGAGAACGACGGGGTTGCGTCAACTGAGCGAAAACATTCTGCACCATCTGTGTGAGCATGTGAGCGCCAGGACCCCCAAGCCGCTCTGACCCTGACGCGCCTTGCCATGTCGTAGGATCCACTTTGGCTCTATGTCGGTGACCAGATGATTCGGTCACTCCAGACCGTAACGCGTCGACCATGTGGTTACGCAGTCGTCACTGACGTACAGGTGGGACCCGTGCCCTTCTCTCAGGGTCGTGGGTGGGAACGCGCTTGAGACTTAAATCTATTATTGACTTTGTCAACTTTTAGTCGCATGCGCTGGGTGATCGGATGGAGTCCTTCTTTCTCTCCGAAACGCTAAAGTACCTATTCCTGCTCTTTGATGAGGACAACTTCATCCATCGCGGTACGCTTGCCCTCGACCATGGGCATGCATACCGCAGCTGACCTCGACTGGCTCCAGCGGTCTGTGGTATCCTTTTAGATCAATGCCTCAATTTTTGCTGCTCGCATCTTTTGCTAGGCGGTCATGTCTTCAATACTGAAGCCCATTATTTTCCCATCCTTGGTAGGGTCCAACCCCACCATTTCCTGTCACCGCAAACCATTGACATTCTGTGTGTTTCCGGGCGCTTTTCATGGCTCATTGTTCGGTCTCTCGTGTCGTCATGATGTCCTTTCAGGTGAAATGCCCTCTGTACAAGCTGATTCAGATGTTCCCGAGCCTAGTGTACGCCGCACTTGCCATCGAACTCCGCGAGCTCTCCGGCTCTTTGGTAAGGTTTGCCATGCCAAAAAAAAAGATTCGAAATCTCCAGTTCTACTAGTGCTGCACCAGGTCACCGTGTCGGATCACGACGTCCAGAATACAGTCATATCTTGACCTTGACACTCGTTGCCGCACCTGCCGCACGCTCAGGTCAAGGCATTGCCCAACCACCGGCCGAGCCCACCGCTGCACTGCTGCAGGATCCGGAGGCCAAACTCAAGGCTGCGCAAAAGACGCAGGCTGGCCTCGCAGAGCCCACTGTTCCCGAAATGCCATCCGCAAACCGTATCAAAGTCACGGGCTCTGACGAGGAGGCCGAGGCGCTTCTCAGCAAAATCAAAGCACAGGTGGCCGAAGCCAAGGCGGCCGGCGAAAAGCCAGACGTCCGCGATTTGTTACAAGAAGCCGTCAAGGCTGGCATTATTGCCATGAAGGAGGACAAGCCAACAAGCCCAGCCGATGCGGCGCCAGCTGCGCCTGCCGATACGGTACGTTGCAGTACGCTTCCAATCAATTGAGTGAGCATAGTGCAGCAACAGTTAGCGTCGTCGCCTCTCACTCGCAGGCTTCATGCAGCTGACGCGCTTGGAGCGTCTTCAAACTTTGGTTGATGCTTGCTTCAAGCATGAAGCAGATTATTGGTACGGTACAACGTCGTGATGTGTTTGGTTTTTGCTCAACACCTTGGATTCATTGATCCTGTCAACCCTCGCGTGGTTCTGGTTTGAATTGCAGGACGTACGAGGTGTGCTTTGGACGCTTTGCGCGACAATATCACCAGGAGAAGGGCACTATACAGATCGAGTACAGTTTGGGCGTACGGTGCGTGTGTGATTTTCGTCTACAATGATGGAACCCTGTGCATTTGCCTAACAGGCTTGCTGCTCGATAGTCATGTGGCAGAAGCAGTACGGGCGGCTGAGACCTTGGATCAAGTACAGGTACAGCCGCGACCCTCAACAGTTGCACTAAAACCCTCCTGCCTGCCACTGGATTCATAGCTTTTGTGATGACAAGCGCACTGCATCTGGGTTGGCTTATTAGACTGTAATGGACGGCGTGGATGTGCGTGGCTATGTTGAGCAGGCCAATACGTACGTACATGTTGGGTTTCCAGCGGCAGTGTCCAGGTCATCCGTGCTACATGCTACCACCAGTCCCTCAATCGCTTTGGGTTCCCTATATGCCTTGAATTCTCAATCAACGCTGTGGCCATACACGTACTGGTGTGGACTTAGGCCTCTCGTGTTGCGTCACGTGTTTGAGCATGGGGACACCTGTGTCCCCGGCCTTTCACGTCGCGCCACGGTTCACTACCAATGTGACCCATCGCTGCGTGACTTGCCCAAGCAGTTTACGATGAGTGTATCTGAGTTGGAGCAATGCCTCTACAATGTGTCGATATCCTCGGGCCTTCTTTGTCCCTCCGGCCTGACACCGCCAGCAGAGCTCATGGACTCGTCAGAGCACACCGAGACCAATCTGAGCTGAACATCTCCCGTGCAGTTGGCTGCGAGTCTGCCTTGCTACATAGACAACACTCTCCTGTTGAGTGCACATAACTGTGCTCACATGGAAGAAAAAAGAGAGTATGAGGGCACTTTTCCATTTGCAGGTACAATTTTAGGAGCTTTCTTTGCCATTGCGTTCACCGCCATTTCTTCTCTGGTGGAAATTCAGAATGGAGCACCGGTCTACTTGGGCTCGCGCTGCGATGCGGTGACAAAGAGCACAGTAATCCTTGCTGCTGAAAGAAAAAGAGCTCAACTGAAACCCATCAATTGCATGCACGTTTCTGAGACGGGATCAATTTTCCTCGAGCTTGGCTCGTTGCGCTGGAGGCTCTCCGGAAGCTTCACCGCTAGCGTCGGTGGTTGTCACGGCGTCGGTGGTTGTCACGGCGGCTTGACCAATGCAGTCAAAGTTTTGCATCCAATATAGCATACCGCTGACCGTCAAGCCCCACAGATTGTCTGCGCGTCGAATCGTCGAAACAGAGTTGGACATGGTGTGAGCAAGTGAGGGGCACGAGTGGTGCACGTGTCGACACGCAGGGCAGTGGGCAAAAAGACGTACTTGAATTGAGACTGCGCCCCAAGCCAACGTAGCGACTTTCGGCACGAAAGCTTTTGCTAAGCTCTGTCGATCGAGCATTGGACTTGGCCAGCTATCAAGCGTGAATGGGGAGCATGGTTAGCCAGGGGGCATGAACGGAGGTCAGGTCAGACAGAAAAAAAAAAAAAAAAAAAAAGAGCGCCTGTGACAATGTCGACCAGGCAGGCGCGCACCTTGTAGGATTTCTGCCAGCTTCCGCAGGCCACCTCCGAGTCGGTGGAGCTTCCGGCAAATGCCAGCGGAGAGAGCTCTTTGCTGTTGGGGGAGATTGCAAAGTCACAAAAGGTGACCTCGTATTTGAGGGCGCTGCGGACGATGCCTTTGACAGTCCAATTGCTGACGTCACAGACGATGGTGTTGCGCTCGGCACCGGCAGCGCCTACAACACCGGGCGCAACGGCCAAAGTGTAGAGTGCTTTCTTGGCAATGAGCTCGCGGCGCAATTGTTTGCCTGTTTTGACGTCAAAGGTCGAGACGGCTCGACCTGGACGCGTGGGCCGGCAACTTGCATGAGGGAGGGGGCTATGAACGAGAAAGCACGTGGAATGGATGCTGCGAGCGAAAGCGGACCAACCTTCTGCCACCAACACAATGGGCTCGCCGCGCTTTGGTAGCGTGTGGAAGCGCACGTCGTGCGGTGGTCCTTGCAGGACGATGCGGTGTTGGAGGCTGTGTCTCGGGCGCGGCGTGCGCGCATGAGTCGGGGCGGAGAAGGGCGTGCGTGGCCAATGTGGACAGTGTACTGAGCAAATAACATTCTGACTCACGTGTGGCCGCTATAAATGTAGAGAGTGCGCGATGGGTTGTGAACAATGGCCGCGGCATCATGCTCGGGGGCATAGGCACCCTTGACCCAGCCTGACGGACAAGCAAGAGCAGCAGATTGGGTGAGGCGCGCGGTGAGGTCGATTCCTAGCTGATGCTTAAGGACGCAGGTGGTATTTCAGGGCGCAGCGTCCTTGTTCAAAAGCGTCGGACCCACCAGCACTGGTGACGGGCAGGGTATAGTGGGTGTGCTCGAGGGGGTCCGCATCGGTAAGGGCGGCTTGGGGCTGGCCCAGTTGACTGGCCATGTGCTTTGAGAGGGTGCAGTGGCCAGCGTTGTCGCATGCTAGGAGTGCGACGCGATCTTGAAAGTAGTGAGCCGTAAGGGATTGGATGACGGCGTTGGAACGCTGGTGACAGGAAATGGGCATCTGGTAGCTGGCGCGCAGCTCGTTGGAAGCGTAGATGGCACCCGATGTTTGCTGCAACTCTGCTGCCGGGGCTGGTTCGACTCCAACCACCAACACCTGATCGTCACTGGCCACGGCCACGGCGTGCGGCTGCGCCAATGGCGCCAACCGCGCTCCAAACTTGCCGCATCGCTGCGCCTGCGCCGCCTGAAACACACGGCATCGATGCACAAACATGGCTGCCCTGCTCCAACCCGCACAAAATCTACCCCAAAAGTCCCAGCCACAAACAGCGCTCCACCCGCCACCCACCACGCTCTCCTCCCAAAGCCCAGAACCACCAGCTGCGCTCTCCTCACAAAGTCCAGAACCACCCTATCAAGCCATCAACACACCCCCGCCGCCGTGCCCTCTTGCTCTTAAAAAAAAAAATTCAGGTGACACCCACCCGCGTGCATCAATTGTCTGACAATGTGTTGTCAGACTTTTATGTGCTCTCTCTCTCTCTCTCTCTCTCAAACTCTCTCAAACTCTCTCTCTCTCTCTCAAACTCTCTCTCAAACTCTCAAACTCTCTCTCTCTCAAACTCTCAAACTCTCTCTCAAACTCTCAAACTCTCTCTCTCTCAAACTCTCAAACTCTCTCTCTCTCAAACTCTCAAACTCTCAAACTCTCTCTCTCTCTCCGTCGCTCTCCGTCTCTCAGTTTCGCAGCAGGGGGAGCAGGCACCGGCAGGATGTTTTACCTGATTGGTCTGGGTTTGAGCGATGAGAAGGTCGGTCTCTGTCCATCTCCCTCGCACCCTCTGGGCGTGGGTGTTGTGAGGAATGGCGGTGTGGTATCACCCTGTTTGGAGGGATTGATGCTTGATGGCGCGGGCAAGGGCACTCACGGGCCACGTGGCTTGGGCGGCAGGATATCACGGCGCGCGGGCTCGAGATTGTCAAGCGGTGTGATGAAGTGTTTCTCGAGGCCTACACGGCCATTCTGATGGTTAACAGTGACAAGCTGGTGCGCTGGACCTGCAAATGCCCGACCCCCACTCGTGTCCCCTGTGTGACAGACAGACAGGCATTGATACTCTTGCCGCGCGCGCCCTTGCCATGGCGGCATGACCTGACGGCGGTGCGCTCACACGCAGGAAGCCTTTTATGGACGTCCCGTGACGGTTGCTGACCGTGAGCTTGTGGAGCAGCAGTGCGAAGAGCGTTTGTTGCTCCCGGCCAAGGAGAAGGACATTGCCCTCCTGGTGGTGGGCGACCCCTTTGCTGCCACCACGCACACCGACCTTGTCACCCGCTGCAAGAGCCTGGGCGTGAGTCAGCGCGCCTCACTCTTCCCGCGTGCACTTGCATTATGAACAGGAGTCAAACGTTGCAACGCCGCCGAGGCTCAGTCGCACCGGTGTATCCGCCAACTGACCCATGCCTCCTCCTGGTCGCGAAATCAGGTGCCTTGCCAAGCCGTGCACAATGCCTCGATCATGAACGCGATCGGCTGCTGTGGGCTCCAACTCTACAACTTTGGACGCACGGTGAGGGTCTGCCAACAGCCAGCCGGCCCAGACTCTACCCACGCGTGTCTTTTGACGTGTTTGCATGTCCTGACTGATAGGTGAGCATTGTCTTTTTTACGGAGCAGTGGCGTCCAGACTCGTTTTATGCCAAGATGAAGGCCAACAAGGACATGGGTCTGCACACGTTGTGTCTTGTTGGTACGTCATGGGCTGACATGAGGCCCAGCTGCACCTTGAGGCCAGGCGCGTCGTCTTGCCCGCTCTCACCCTGGGCTGTGGCACCGCAAAAAGACATCAAGGTGAAGGAACAGTCAATTGAAAACCTGATCAAGGGTCGCAAGATCTTTGAGCCCCCGCGCTACATGACCGTGAACCAGGTGCGAGTTGGCTTCCAACGGAGCCAGTCGTGCTACCCTGCGCGGTCGACTGCGCTGATACACTTTGATTTGCAAAGTAGTGTGCGAAGCAATTGCTGGAGGTCGAGGAAAAGTATGGTGAGGGCGTGTGCGGCCCCGACAGCCTGGCCGTAGGAGTGGCCCGTGTTGGCTGCACGGACCAGCGCATTGTCTTTGGCACGCTCAGTGAGGTGAGCTGGTTTTTGCGGGCACTTTGGGACAATGAAGAATAATGGAAATGTTATAAGTAGACACTCGTCGCCCCTACCAAGCACAATTGCGTGCTCCTGACCTTGATTTTACCTGGGGACTGTTGGGTTGGGTTTGCAGTTGGTGACGGTGGACTTTGGCCCTCCGCTCCATTCACTGGTGGTCATTGGTGAGACGGACGAGATTGAGCGTGAGGTCTTGGACATGTATAAGATTGACGACAGCACGCCGCGTGTGGCCGAGGAGCCGGGTATGTTCAAAGGCTGATCTGTGGCGCCACTGTGATGCGGCGTCGATGCGTCAGGTGTGTGGAGGGGAACCTTGAGTGCTCTCATCCTGGGCTGTGCTTGGCGATCATGGCGGTAGATGATTTGGATGTGCACTGCACATGAGCATGTGCTGCGATTGAATCCGTCTCCAAGCGCTGGTTTGGTGATCTCTACCCTTTTGGATTCTACTGTTGTGGTGTGCATGAATGAACGGTGTAATTTGTCAACGGGTCAACACTTTATCCGAGCTCGCTGCAATTGCTCTTTATTCGAGTCTTTCTATCCCCCGATCCGATCAGGCGTCAAGGCGGAATCAAGCACGCTCATCGGTCGAGGGAGATAGGAAAAAGAAGAACAAATCAAAAAAAAAAAAAAAAGGTGGAAATTGTCGGGCCTGTGGTGTTGTGTGTTGAAATGGACATGAACATTCTTGTGAAGATCGGCGAGACTGCGCCAGTTTAAGTACCGCATAACGATCACCGTCAGCGCCATGACCCCTCCCCGGCCCGCCAAAAAAAGTCTGACTTTTCTCGCTCGGCGCCCTATATTTTCTGACATTCTGACATCTGAGAATTGCTGCAACTGGCTTGACACCCCCACCACATGCGACTCGCTACGTGTGCCATTGGGGTGGGGGGTCGAAAGCAAAAGCCCGTATAACATCTGACCCCCTTTGACCATGTTTCATCACATCACACATGGAGATCGCTTTACATGCGAAACCTCGTGTTAGCCGTCACACCCAAACGCCCTCCCTGACCGTAACACAGACATGCGTTGTCAACAGCACCGGTAAGACCTTGACTGGACTGGGCTGCTTGGGGGGTCGAGCCGAGTGTATTGGCGGCCAGGTGATCGGGTAACGGGAAGAACCCGGTTGATTCGGATGTGCGAGAGCAGGACAGGAGCAAAATGAATGCAAGGGTGGAGCCAACCACAGCGGAGAGCGTGCGCGTTTCTCAACGGCCACATTTGGGAGACACAACGCGCGGTCGTCGTCTGCTTGTAATAACACACTGACTATGGGCAGGCTTTGGTCTTTAAGAGCGCCACTTTTCTACCCGGTACAGTCTGTGCGTGCTCCTTGCTGACCCCAGACTTGATCCCCAAAGCCACTCCTGCCATTGGCCGTGTCGATTCAAGATTCAACAGCCAGACCAGCTGCCATCGCCCTGAAACCCCTCATCCAATGATTGAGATTGCGGCCCTTGCCCCTGAACGTTGTTAAGGCAATGCTGACTGTTTTGATTCTTTGGCTGATCATGACTCCCTCTCCCTCTCTCTCTCTCTCTTGCTCTCTTGCTCTCTTTGTCTCCCTCTCTCTCTCTCTCTCTCGGGCTCTCTCTCACTCTCTC